CATCTTTAGATACAATGAACTGTGCTCATTGAATAGGTGGAATTACAGTCTCTAATTAAAATGCCCTGGGGTACAAAACCAACAGGGATTCAACTGAACGTGAAAAATACCAATCTAAAACCCTCATCACATTGTCTTATCCTCAGGGCTATGAGGTATATGAAGTTTTCTTGATGAATTTAGAACAGTATCTTCCTTAAATTTTATCTCTACTTTTAATTGTTCTGTTTAGTCCTTCTGGATACTTTGCTGTGAGCCTTCGGGAGATGGGCGAGGGATGCTTGGAGTGTGGGTGCTGAAAAAAACTTAGAGCAAAACTGTCTTCTGTGGGGAAAACATCTACAAGTTTTCCCAAGCACTGGCTGCCCGACAATTCGAGCTAGTTTGCAGTCTTTCACTGACACTGTGTGGCCGAGGAAAGAACAGCAGTCGTTTTGGTTAAAGCTCTTTTGAGTCTGGTGGTGGGGAAAAGAAAACCAACAAAACAACACAGAAGTATCTGCTTGCTTATTTTTGTTTGTGGAAAAGTTATTAGCTGGAACCCTTAATAATTTTATAAAATAAAAACTAAAATACAGAAATTATTCAAATAAATAAGGCAGGTAGTTAGGTTCCAGCACAGTGTTCTCTCAGTCTGGGAGCACAATACAGGAGGAGTTTTCTCAGTTTCTCTCTCAAATTTTATTTGCACTTGTGAGCTTCTCTTCTTCACTGCTCATGTTAATGCAGTTCTGCCACCTTCTTCCTCTCTCACATTCACAGCTGGGAATATCCAAGGTTGAGTAAAAAGTTTGAACTTATTCAAAGCTGTTTTCACTGGTTCGTAGATCTGCTGAAAAGTCCAGTTTGGGCCACCACAAGATGCTCTAACTAAACAGGCAATCCATTAAGTCTGCGGTGTCTCCCATTTTTTTCTTAGAAAGACTAGTGCTGGCATCATCTTTCATGATTCTGGAGTACTCCTTGACAAAATCCACTTCCAGTTGAGAATTTTCCTACCTTTCTCCTCATTTCTTCCCTTCTCCAGAAAGCTGCTGATGTCTGCCATTCCCTCTGTGTAGGCAGATGTACTTCAGTGAGACATCTTTCTCTGGCATGTTCTTGTAGGGTTTGCACGACATCTACATGAGTTCACTTCTCTGTTGAGCTATTTGAGATGAATGGGATGAGAGTAGAGAGCATACAAAATTATTTTGCTAGGATACTTAATTACTTCTAATATATTCAATGGCATAGTCTGACTACTTTGCACTCTCATAAAATAATATTTTTTGAACATCCCATAGAGACATTTTCACAGTGATCTGCTAGATCACTGGTTTGGCTGTGAAACTGACATCCAGCTTGGACCAAGCAGTAGACTTAGAAAGACAGCCAGTATAGGAGGAATACATTGAATTTACTTGCTGTCACTTATACTATAGTGCCCTGTTCGGAGAACTTGAATCAAATCCTTACAGTTCTGTTTAGCCTGGCACTGAAGGAAAACATTGACAGTGTGAGGAGGGTGAACGCAGTACTTCAGCCAGCAGAGGGCAATGGGTGGGGGGAAACGTTTTAAAATCCTTTCTTTTCAAAGGCATCTGTAACAGTCTTTCTTAAACATATCTTTTGTTTGTTTGTTTGTTTGTTTTGTTTTTTAATAGAGTCAGGGAATAAGTCTCTGGGAGACTTCCTGATTAATAAGGTAGTATGTAAGCATGCTAATTAAATTGCTATCGCAGTATGCATGACACAAAGAATGGAAAATGGGCTGTGCAACTAAGAGAGCATGAGTTCAGACAGGTAAACACATAAACATACAGAAATCATCTTTCATTTCTCTGTTTGTAAATCATTATTTTTTCACCTTTCAGGAGTCTCTTGGCCCTGTAAATTAGAATTCAAAGGAATTCAGACCTACTTTCTTTGTATTATTTTTGCTTCCTGTGTACTGCTACTCCCTAAGTAGCAAGAAGCACAGTCCTTTTTATTTCCCTGAGGAGCAGCAAGTACTGAAGTTCATCTAAATTCCATCTTAGTTAAGCTAGTGTGATCTGGAAGGCTCAGCACAGGGCTGTGAATTAGGAGTCTAATTTCTTTATCCCGTGTCTGTTTTACTGTACGGCCTTCAACAACTTCCATTCTGTGCTTTACTTCCCTTACTTCAGAGATGAAAATTATTTATTTTCTTTTTAGCCCTCTGAGGTTTTGTTTGCTGACACTTGTAGAAAGTGTTGAACACAACGTGCAACATGCAATGAAATGATTTCTGGCATAGTTTGTTGTCAGTGAAATGGAACTTGCATTAGTTAACTTTGTGGATTATCTCCTGTGTTACGTGCTGACTGAATCTGCACTGTCATAATGTCTGTTATAATTGTAGTCATTCTATGATCCTATGATAATTTTAGTAATCCCATGCAGCAAGTGCCAGTAATAAAGCTCTGGATAGTTATAATTATCTTACTGTGGTAGATAAATAGTTACTTGAGTAGATAACTTAAATCACCCAAATGAGGAGGAAATACAATTAATATTTATATTTTGAGCTTTTGATTTATAAGTCTTGTCTTTCACATATCTAGGGCCACAGCCCAAAAAAAAAAATAAAATAAAATAAAATATCCAAAAAAAAAACAGAAATTCAGTATCCAGGAAGAAATTAATATAAGAAATGAATACTGTGGGATACATTTCTGAGGGCAGGAAAGAACTTTGCAGAGGGAATTCGGTTTGCTTTTACAAAACCATGATTTAATCAATCTCAATCTATTCGATTTGTAACTTCAATTCTAATTATATTGTATTATATTGTGTTATCTCACATTCCACTATCAAATTTAGTTAATTACTTTCCTCCCTTATCTCACTGCTGCCATTTTGTTTTTAGACCCATCTTGGGGTGAGTCCCCCCACCTCATTTAGTCATGGAACCAGGACAAACCAAGTCAGAACCACTGACAAGAAGATATTAAGAACATCTATATTGACACAATAGGGGTTTTAGAAGAAACTTCTAAAGAGCTAGTTGATAAAACCACCTTTCCTGAGACAAATTGAATCCCATCGCTCTCTTCCCTCTCCCACTGTCCTAAATTACCCTCAAACACCGAAACCTAAATCATGAGGAAATGCTCCAGTCTTAGCTCTTGCTAAAGGGCTAGTGAGGACTTGAGTGGGTATTGTGCCAGTTTGTATCACTGCAGTCTGACAACAAAGATGGGATCCAATCTGAAGAGCATCCGGAGAGCAGCAAGGAGGATGTATGCAGGAACATCAGCAGCAATAAATAAATAAATAAATAAATAAATAAATAAATAAATAAATAAATAAATAGAATCAGAGTTCTGAAGTTGTACAATCTGAAAAGAAAACTAAGTAGAGATATAATAACAATCATTATATATCATATCTCACTTACATATGTGAAGTGTTACCACAGGGAAAAGCTGTTTGTCATGGCTGCCTGTGTACAGAAATGTTATATAAAGAGCAGCAAAAGAGAAGTAGATTAAGCATTAAAAGACTAATTTCTTTAAGCTCAGCATTGCAGCACATTTAAGAGAGGTGTGATATTTTCACCTGTAACAGATTTTGAAATGCAGAGTTGCCAGTAGTGTCTTACTGGTGCTTCTGGTGTAGTTGGGTTGGCATAAAGACTTAAGCAAGGCAAAATTCGTGAAGAAATATATTTTATTGGAAATATAGCTGGGAGTTGGGCACAAGGTTTCATGCTCACCATGCTTCGTAGGATCTGAAGAAGCATCTTATCACAAGAACTTATGTGACTTCAAGGCTGTATTTTTTTTCCCATCTGTGTTAGTTTAATAAGAGAATGGTTTAACTCTAGCAGATTCTGTTTTATAGCTCTTAAGAACCCTTCAAACTCTTTTCTGTGGCATTCTGTGATCTGTTCAGAATTTCTAAATTAAGCATAGTGCTATATCCTGACAGATTAAGGAGACTTCGACTCTTCATTTAGATTTGTATGATGGATAAAATAATGTTTATAGAAGAATCTTTGATATACAGTTAATTGTACTGTTTTCCTACAGGAATTATACTGTGGTATTTCATGAAAATGCTGAGTATGAGTCTTTAAAGAGCTTTTGATGAATCTATAATGTTCAAAAGCTATTGATTGTTACGATCTCTGAGGAGCTAACTTTTAAAATTATTACAAAATGTATTTTAGGCAAGTTTCTCAGACTCAGTCTTGGTTTTATTAATGTATTAGCTTATGAATTTATTGCATCCATATTAAAGAAGGGATTTGTTTCATCTAAAAAAGCCTTTCAAAATTGAAAAAGATAAAAAGAGAGAAAAGACACTAAACAAAACTTAAAGGCACATCTTTTAAAGTATCTTCTACACACTGCTTTTGATTACAGTAATCATGGCAAAAAAATATACCACATTTGAAGTGCATTGCTCTTAATACTGCAAAAATTGCATTCATTTACTTACCTCAAATCATAGATACCTTTTCCCCAGGCAAATGCTACAGATTCTCTGCAGATGCAATAGACACACTATGTCCAGCAAAATAGTTTTTTTAATTGTTGTTTTCTTGATAGAGTTCATAAGACTCCATGTAGCAGTTTAAATCAAGCAGCACAATAGCATAAGAAAAAGATAAACCTTTACAGAGGTATGTATTTATTGCCATGGAATAGAGCCAATGGATTAAAATTGGCATGAAGAATGTTGCAAGAATAGTCAGTGAAAATAGTACTTGAAGTACAATAAGCTACTTTATTATACATCAGATGTTTTCCCCTGCTGTGGTCTGTGCAAAACTACTCTTTGTTTATTGAGAATCTCCCGACATGAACTTTTTTTTTCCACTCTAAAAGAGAACACACAGCTTCTACACCAAACAACATACTCAAATGTTCTGTCCCTTAAACAAGGGACAACATTTCCTTAATTCTAACAAAAAAAAAAAAAAAAAAAAATTCCTGTTAAAACATTCCCTAAGACATTTCCAGCTCACTAACTTTTCTTTCCAAATTCAGTTTGTATTGCAGTGTGGAAGAATCATCACATGCGAACAGTCACCAACTATTTCATAGTGAATCTGTCTCTGGCTGACATTCTGGTCACAATTACTTGTCTTCCAGCAACTTTAGTAGTGGACATCACAGAAACTTGGTTCTTTGGGCAGCACCTCTGCAAAGCAATTCCCTACTTACAGGTATTATTTTACTGTGTTTGTATACATGTTGTCCATGTTACACAGAAGAGAGAGAGCTATAGTATCTCGCTCATGGTGATAATGCAAGTCTGTCACAGATTCTGAAGTAGATACCCCAGGATACCTACAGATCATGAAATCACTGTTCCACTTGTGAATAAATTTGTGCTTTGTAAATGTTGTTAGATTTGGGCAACGCACCGTTTGAATCATTTGTCCAATATTCTTCTTTTTTGTGATCTTTTTTAACAATTCAGAAGAGATATGAAACAAAAAAAAAAAAGCCCAGTAATAGAATTATATATAGAATTATACTCTGTAAGAGGACCTAAAAAGCTACACAAGTATCCATGACATAGAATCTGAACTTCTGAAGAAGTCTGAAGGGACTCTATGCCTACATATATGTTTAATGACTTGTTTTTCTTTCTTTAAATGTAGTCCTGGGAGCCAATCATATTGGCTACTTTTAATATACTTGATCAAGCCTTCTGTCTTATTGCCACTTATTACCAATGGACTTAAGTATTTATGAGATCATTTGCACCAATATGATTGACAGATACCTTTTCTGAGTGTAGCTCACTGGGCATACTAGAGTGGCAGCCTACTCGGCCTTTTAGTCATTAAACATCAAAAGAATTAAGTATATCTCTGAATGCATGTAGACGATCATCTCTGTGCCCCAAGCATGATCTGTGTTTTCAGTAGACACCTGCATGTTCAGGCTGAAAACCCACATTGTCAAGGGCAACAGTTCTCCAGCAAGTATGTCTTCTACTGTATAGGATGAGCACAAATAAGCACAAAACTTTTTTCAAAGCCTCCATTCTAAAGGGAGAAAATCTGAAGAGAAAATGGAATGATCACTGAACAATAAAACCAAATTGATAGGTTACTTGCTATACTGAATAGAAGACTAAAGTCACATTGTCAGCTTTGAGTTCATTGGTTTCTTGTTTTTTATTTTTTTCATGAGATTCTAGGTTTCCATTGTTCCTTCGAAAATTGAAAAGGTAAAGCAGTAGTACAGATAATCAAATATAGTGGAAAGAAAAAGCACGTTTTAAAAAGCTGTTCATCAAAGAAATAATGATCTAACTACGTGACCATTTTTTGGAATAAATCTTTCACATATTTTGCAAATGCTAAGTTGTATAAATTTATTCTTTCAAAATCTGACTGCTACTCCTACTCTGGGTAGAACCCTAAAATGTGCTTTGTATACAGATGTAAGATATAGAAATATAGATATAAGGAAAAATGTATTTACTGAGAGGTTGTAGAAGCACTGGTACAGCTTCCTTAGAGAGCTGTCTGATGCCCCACACCTGTCAGTGTTCAAGAGGCACTTAGATAATACCGTTAATAATATATTTAACTTTTATTTAGTCCTGGAAATGGACTAAATGATGAGGAGATGGACCTGGTGATCTTTGTAGGTAATTTCCAACTGAACTATTCTATTTGATTCTACAGTAGATGAGTATATCTGTTGGGATTCCATAATAAATGACTTAAAACAGAGTCTTTCAGAAAATAATTTCCATTTAGTATGTTCAAATAGAAAGCTAGGTATGTTAAAAATTGAAATCATTTTTAAAACTGAATAATTACATTTACATTTACATAATATTTCCTTTTCTTCAGACAGTTTCAGTCTCTGTGTCTGTACTAACACTTAGCTGCATTGCTTTGGATCGATGGTATGCAATTTGTCACCCTTTGATGTTTAAAAGCACAGCCAAGCGTGCAAGGAACAGCATTATAATTATCTGGATTGTGTCCTGCATCATAATGATTCCTCAGGCTATTGTTATGGAGTGCAGCAGCGTGTTCCCAGGATTAGCCAATAAAACCACCTTGTTCACAGTGTGTGATGAACACTGGGGAGGTGAGTGTGTCACTGATCATAAAGACTGAATTTTTCCTGTTGTTATGTAACAAAATATTAAAATGCAGTCGAGTTTCATAAACAATGTTCATAATTATATAACCTTTCCTAGAACTATTGTTTTTTGAAATACTCTGAATTTTAATTTTCTTTTATACTGCTAAGACTAAAAGTATATTTGAAACCAAGTTTAAATGAATGAGGCTGCCTAACGTCTTGGCCATGTTAATGTTTACCAGAAGGTGAAAATATTCCCATTTTTAAAAGCTTATACTTATATAATTCCCAGTGATTGATGGAAGTTGCAGGTTTAGAGAATTCAGTCTTCAGAAATAATTACACAAAAACAGATCTCCTATTTATCTGATATATTGATTTTGCTAATTGATAATATTTAATTAGGTCTTTATAGATATCTCCTGTGATGTCAATGCAATCTGCATGTCATAGCAGAACTTAACAGAGATGTCATGGATAGGGTAGCAAGTTAGTCTAAAATTTGTCATAGACAAGATAATTTAAATAACTTTAATATTACAATGTTACAAAATATTCTATCCAGGAAGTATTACTCTGTCTTTTGAGATTAACTTTGAACCTAACTACCTCTGCATTTGAATTCAAATGCAGGAAGTTGTAAGTATTGCTGGGAGTATCTTCTTCCATTTTGTCTCACATACCAAGTTGTGTAAGACACTCATTTGAATGGTTAAGATTCAACTCTAGTGGGCCTTGGCATAACTCCAACTAATAGAACATATGCATTACATGCTATCACTTTGACACTGGATTTAGTGACCATCAGTAATACCATTATTCACACACAGGAAAATAAAGCCAAGTTTGCCAAAATATGTGATTGTTTAGAAGCCTCAAGACATTCTATATAATAGTTGTATTTTCCAACTGAGTTGTGTCTGTTGAAGATTCCAGCCCTGTGAACAATTAAAATAAAATGCAACTTGACCACTTCTACTTAATTACTGTGATAAATAAGTTCAAGCAGCTTGAACTGCTGAGGGTTCTTCCATGTGCTATTCTGAAAGTTCCTCCACTGGTAATGACCTCTGTATGGCCATTGTGGAATTAATGTGAAGACAATGGCTTTTGCATTCCCTGTTCTTTATCTCCTTCATCCTTGTTAGTCCTCTGGGACAAGGCAATGAGGCAGACATGGCCATTGGCTAGCTGGATGTCATTCCTGACAAAAAGATGTGCAGAAGGTATGTAGGTTAAAGTAAGACCCTGTTCAGATGGGAGTATTGTAGTTGGTGTTTTATTGGAGTGGCACATTTGTACTTCTATTGTCCTTTATTCGCCTATGAATTTTGAACCCCAGTCTGCAGTATTTTTTGTGACTATTTTCTTTCACAATATTCACTCTGAGTACAAATGTGTCCAATCATTCTGGGGTTATTTATCCACGTCTTCTTCACCTGAAGGTTAGATTGGAAGCAAAGACTCTTTTAATCAACCTAGGAATTGAAAATGATGGAAAGCACTGTAGTTAATTAATTAGGGAGTCAGGAGAGTATCTCATCAGGGAACACAATTTCAAAATTCCCAGATCTCCATTGGCCTCTTCGTGATTTCCAACAGGAAAATTCGTCTTTTAGACTTGAATCCATAGCAACTGGAACTATTTCAAAAACTATCTTATTCAGTACTGAATGAGAATAGTTGCAACCCACAGATACATCTGAGCTGAAGTACCCATTATATAAAAGAAGCTCCCAGGCTCTACTCCAGTGAAGTGTATATATCCAAAGTGAAATCTGTTTATCTTCAGAGGATGCTGTTAGCCTTTACTCAGACATTAGAAGAGATGAAAAGAGAATAGTAAAGGCAAGCTCTTGCCTGCAGAATTGAGCTATTTTTGTGTGTGGATTCAGGATTGAAGAGTCAACACTCCAAAATGATTTTTTTTAATTGATGTTGAACATAAAGTGAAAATAATTTCACATTAGAAATCCATTAATGTTTTCTGAAATGGGAAAGCTTTTCATTTTACTTAAGATAACAATTCTATTTTTATCCTGATGCCTTTTCAATTAATTCTTCTTCTAGTGATAAAGCAACACTATTGCTAGTTATTCTTCTAGTGCATTTCTTATGCCCTTAAAAATAATCCTCTAATCACCTCGTAATAATAGCTTACCTTAGTAACTTGAGAAGATGACCTTTGTGTTTATTAAGATACAAGTAGGTTGCTCAAATCATGGTGTCTTAGTAAATGCAGAGTTAACTATATATTAACCATGAGGATAAAATATAGCACATCCCTTTCTGATCATGCAGAATGGAGTATCATTAGCCACAAATGATTTTGATACAATTTGAATTGTCTAAAGACAGTTACTTGGCCACTGCATAGAAGATTTCTACCGAGAATCTGGGTTTGAAATCACAAAGACCACCAAATAGAAAAACAAAACGTGCATAAGAGGACATCAATTAGAAAAGATGGGTGAGCATTGCAGCCAGAAGAATGATTAAAGAGCTAATATTTTCCATGAGAACATTTGCATTTTTCCTTGGGTTTTATTTTGTCTTTTTTGACTATAGAGTATCTAAGGTGAAAGAGATCTAACCAGGAGGAGGTTGAAGGAGAAGGAAATTTGTTCCTAAGAAGTCATACTTGCAGTACATGTGCTTGAAACTGCAGACACTCAAGAGCAAATGCTACAGGAGAGTGAAATTTTGTGAAGAGGAAAGTGCTTATATTTGAGTGCTAACTGCTTCTTTTAGAACTGGAAATAATTTATGTTGTCTAAAATTAAGATTCATCTAATGAAATCTTTTCAGAGTATCATGTGCACCTTATATCCCAAGGATGTTAAACTGTGAATTGTCAAGACTGAAATTTTAACAGGAGGTGCTTGATGACACTTTCCAAAGTATTTCAGAATTCTATACTAGTTCTGGGAACTTAGGACCGTTGAAACATGAGGTGCTATGGGGGACTAACAGACACGAGGATGTCTGGAACAGTCCAGGAAAATGTCAGAGATGCCAAAGCAGAAGACAGTGCTGTACCCAGACTTAGGTTCAGCTGTTGAAATCTGTACTAGTCTGGTGAGTGTCTGGAAGGTCTGATCCACACTGTGACACTTGGGCTCCTAAATGGAGAACAAATAGTAGCCACTCTGACTAATAATAACATTTCAAACATGTGGTTGGACAGATGCCAGTGACTGCAAATGGTGTAATAGTTCAATCTAAAACTAGGCGCAATTCCTTTTTAATTGCTTCTGGCATTCCTGAATATAAAATTCATTGCCAATTCTAGGGTGAGGGTTTTTCATTTTGAGTACTGTCTAATAACAATATTTTATTTGGGAATGCAGAAGGATCCAACTCACTTAAGGAGCCAGCCTTGGCCACAGTTCTATAATAGTCTGTAATTGCTATGTGCTGAATTTGATGATAAAGTGCCAAAATAAAAGAAACATATATTAAAATGAGCTCATAATGTGTCCAAGCCAGCTAAACACATTCTCTAAGAGCTGTTCGTGAAAAAGGGTGTAAGCCAAAGTGCACTAGCCAACCCCTTTGCATATGATATGGAGATAATCCTTTCCAAATACTATATGGTTGAATGGAGACAAAAGGAAGACTTTGTGTTCCATTTCCTCCTAGATTACTCATAAAATAGTACAAAAACACATTGTCTTAATTCTGGAAAATAACATAGCTGGAAATTGCATTGTTACGTGAAGGATACATCCTGTAGAATACATCCTGTATCGCTACCTGGAGTGTAGAAAAGAACAAACAGACCCTGAATGTTGATCAATGCTGTAAGTTATTTAAAAGCACTGTGCAGCTATTGAACAGGCACAACTATGTTGCATAGTGTTAGAAGCTACTTGAGTTAGATATGACCTGGAACAGTGTGTGAGTGATACTAAAAACGCAAACGAACTATGTTATTATGTCCAAAATAAATGCAAGTGGTGAGAATGTTTGAACTATATTAAGTGGTTTAAAAATGCAGAAGTTAAAGCAAAATGTAAGGAATGTTTTAATGCAGCAGGAAGCCAGATTACTGTGAATACTGAAATCAGCCTTGGCATTGTGATGGATTGATACCGCAAGAATGATATAACTGCTTTGAAATGTTATTTTAGTATTTAACTAGTTGTAAGTACTCTGACACAGGAACACAGTTTGAAAGCAACTGTGTTGTGTAATATAATTTTCTCTACTATATGCGGGTACTTTCCAACATTTTTACTTATTGAGCTTTTTTCTAAAAGTGTAGTTCTTAAGCTGCTTTGCTTCTGCATATTGGTAAGTCCAAAAATGCATAGGCATCTTCCTGAGATTAACGGGGGAACATTCTGGGAATGTTCCATAGATGCTCTAAAAAGTTGCTACTTTTCCCTATTCTGTGGGAAGCTGATATAGGTACCAATTTAACTGTGCATTTATGATTGACAGAAATATTTTGTTTGCTAGCCATAATAAAACCTCTTGAGTCTGTGTTGTTTTCAGTTTATATGTATACATATATTCATATATAAAATTCTGGCAAAATCTGGAAGATGTAATTTCAAACTTATGCCTACTTACTTAACTAAAGTCTGGGACTGCAACACAGATCTGAGAAGGAAACTTTAGAATAAAGTCTGAAGTTTGTTTAGTAACCCCTGCAACAGACAAAAGAAAACTGTAGGATACTGGTCATTTATCTGGTGGAGCAATCATGCTATATGGGAATGCCAGTCCCACCTCAATTCCTGTCCCTGTGACTATTTGTTTTCTTTTTGTCCCATTCTCTCTTTTTGGCAAAACAGTAGCCAGTGATGTGAGAATCATTAATTTCTTATTAAAGCGATGATTACTCTGGCAAAGAATTATCTTTGCCCTGTCCCACAGTCCATTAAGGCAGTTGTGGATGGCAAAAACAGCTTTCCGCATTAGAGTAAGAGGATCAGTGGTTCCAATCAGACAGCTGATGTATTGCCAGGTCCCACAGACTGATTGATGCTCTCATTCAAGGAGCCTGCAACTCACTTGCTTGATAAATGAACAGCACCCCAAACACACCCTTCCTCCTCTTTTCTGCTGTGATTGTCGAACAGCTTTAAAGCTTTTTGTTGGCTTGAGAAGCTAAACAGAGTCATGCTCCTTAGAGAAAAGTTCTACAAAGAGCTTTGCTGTGGGTGGAGGAGGGACAGTTTTCCTTTGATGTTAAGCAGCTGGCACTTTCCAGGTGGCTAAACTTCAAAGGCAAGTCTTAGGATTTTCCTCCAACCTGGTTCATCAGTTCTTTGTAGATAGCTAGGCTCATTTAATGTTTCACTCTACTTGGAATGGTAAATTGGAAGCCATAAACTCCAGATGTCCTTTTAAATATGCACTGTCCTTCCACCTGAATGGGGCCTGGCTGCCTGCAGAGCTCTGAGGAGGCGGGTGGCACCTCCTGAATAGCAGGAATGTGCTTTCAGCTCTGACCTCCTGTGATCCCAGTAAGTCACATGCCTTCAGTTTCTCCTTAATCTCTCCGCCTGTGGAGCCTGGATGTTAATATTTCCCTGTCTGATTGGTCCAGGGTGAGGTTGCTTTTTCTGAAATACAAAAACAATTTAACAATTTTGAGATCACCAGAAAATATACAAACTCAAGTTACTGCTAATTATCAATCAATCAATCAATCAATCAAATATTTTTTTAAAAGACCCAAATGGCCTTCCTCCCACAGGGATATTCACGAGAGCTCGTAGTTGCAGCTGTTCAGGTGAAAGTTAGTAAGATCATTTGCTACAGAGTCTTAAAACAAGTAAGGAGCCAAACACTTCTAATCTGAACTGTTTGAACACATATCCATCAATGCTGTGAAATATCAATGGCAATATTTCTACTGCCTTCACTAGCAGTGAACACAAGCAAGATTTTGCTCATTGGTATGGTATATAGTTCCAATTACATAGCAATTTTCTATTTCCATGATATATATTTCTAAAGTTAAAACTACAGTCAACAGAGTTTCAGTGAGATCTCATAATTTTGAAACATTTGAAAATTTCAGAAATTAATATAATCACTCATTTTTTTCTTCTAGTTCAAAATGTAACACATTAATTACCATGCAATTTAACTGCTCATACAGTGCAAAGTTTTGCAACATACTGTCACTCTACATAATGGCCATTTCTGGTTCTAAAACTAAAGACAACTTGTTAAAAGTGTCAAAGATGAGGCAGCTTAAAATGAGTTAGTTACTGTTTAGATAATGTTCACTGTTTTAATAAAAGCAAAACTTCAGAATCATGTAGAGAATGTAAAGAAATCATGTCATATGAAGGCAATGGGTATGGAAGCAATTAAAAAATAAATCCTGATAATAAGATTACTGGATGCATCTTCCATTAGTATGTATTGTGTCTGAAATACGCACAGATTTCTGTATGAATAATGGCACAAAATGATTTTGACTTCAACTCATATTTAAACACATTTTTCTTTTCTTTAACTATCTTTCCAGCTGAGGTTTACCCCAGAATGTATCACACATGCTTTTTCCTGGTGACGTACATGGCACCACTGTGTCTTATGGTGTTGGCCTATTTGCAAATATTTCGAAAGCTGTGGTGTCGCCAGGTAAGTCACTTGTGTTAGTTCTCTTTGCTTGCTTTTATGACCATGGCTGATTCTCACATGAACCCTTTTTCTGTATATGTTCCATGTTGTCACATCTTGTACACTAAAAAGTGCACAGGGATTTAGGTTTTTTTTGGTGGCAAAAAGATAAGTACTGTTATATACCTATGACTGTCAGTTGATGTGAAACTGCAGAAACTTTGTTTTCTAGCTTAGATGATAGCAGTACGTACAACAGTCTGCAGTAAGTAAAATTAAAACCGCTTCATATCTATTAACAACTGCGAGTTGGCTGCAGACATCAGGCATTTCACTAGCTGCAAAAGGTGTGCCATAATCAGTCATGTAGAGCAAATTAATGCAGCACTGTAAGTGTATTATTTGGTAGTATCTTCAGTTAAGTAATGATGCTGTTTACGAGAACTGTAGTTAAATATGGTGGTCTTGCTGCAAGGTGCAATGCCTCCCAGGTGTATGTGACAGAAGAAACACCACAAACAGTAAATTCCTTCTGTGCCTTACAATTTTTCTAAAGGTTCATTGATTCATTGTTGTTGTTGTTGTTTTTGTTGTTGTTTGTTTGTTTGTTTGTCTTTTAAAAGGAGTGTTCTGTGCATACTAACATTCAGATGACTAAAGATAAGAGAAATTTACAGAGTATTTTTTCTGTACTTTGTACAAGGGATCTTAAAATTACTGACTGTGCCTTTCAGGCAGATCTTCACATATAAACTTTGCAGTCTTTTGTTCAATGATTCATCTGTGCAAAGGGAAGAACAATCATGCCACAAACACCAGGATTTTGAGTAATTTATTTTATTTATTAGAAAGGAAGTAGTGTCTTAGTGACAGTGTTCTCTTGTGTATTTTAAGTGGATTAAAAGTGACATCTAAACAAATAAATAGGACTGAGTGGACTTATGGTAAAAGAGTTGATACATAATTCATATTATCAAGTCCTGTATACTTGGTTTTATTGATGTCCAAATGCATTGACACTAAAGTCGTTTTATATTAACAACCAGGAGCCCTGCCCAATTTTATTTTAGCAGCTGAAATACACCTTCCAACTCTCTGCAAGCTGTTCTTACACTTGGGGAGACTGAGCTTACTCGTAAATCCCTTGTTAATAATTTGAGGAGATAGAGGGAAGGTGAATCTGAGAATAACGGCACAACTTTTCGTGCTTGTATACTATACAACTAACTGTATAACTGATTCAGTAACCAAAGCAAATACATGTATTTTAATAACATGTTTATACTTGTACATATATAATACATGTGTGTGCTTACCTAAATACATTTGTAAATCTTTCTGTATATGTAGACCTCTCTGAAGTGTTCTGTCCCTTAGATGGTCCTGGTTCAACTATGCATCTATGGGTAGATGGTACTTTTTTCTGATAAAATTCTTACTTTATCACTGGTTATTGGACTATAAGTAGCAAGGCCCACTTCTTTGTCAAGTAAAGACAAAGATAAAAAGGGTGGATAGGTAAAAAAGAAGGAAAGGTTCTCAATGCAAACTTCTGAAGATTTGTTGCTTTGATGTACAGTGGCACTGTATATTGTATACAGTCCCTACCTTTGATCATCTCTTGCTATTGAAGACTGCTTACAGAGCAGAAAAGCTCCTTCTACCTGAGCAGACCATACATAACTGAACGAGCCATGTACACAGTCATGTCTAACACTTCTGTAGAAATAGCCATTCACAATTCTGAGGCAAGTACTCTTTATCTTCTTTGAAATTACATCTATTAAGAAAGATGGTCACAAAACTCTTCTTGTGAATCTTCAGCATCATCAGGAGGGAGAGGTCAGAAGAGATTTAGCTAATTATTTACTGCTTACATCTCCATTATTTGATGAGTTCTTGCTACAAAAAAAAAAAAAAAAAAAAACCCTCAGTACATGAGAAAAGGAAGGAAAATCTTCAAAGTTAAAAGAACGAGAATACAGAATACCCACTATAAACCAGAATCAGAATCTTAGCATGCCATCTTTGTAGTGCATGGCAAGTACACATTGCAGTACTACAACCCACAGCTAAATGATTAAATCCCTTTAAATAGAACAAAATATGTCCAGGTATGAAACTGGCATTTTTGGTTTAACTGAATGAGTAGGAATCCTCATTTAACTGAATGAACAGAAGAAAGTGAATAAGTGCAAGGCTTGTTTGCTTTCCTCTTCCTCTTCCTCTTCCTCTTCCTCTTCCTCTTCCTCTTCCTCTTTCCTCTTCCTCTTCCTCTTCCTCTTCCTCTTCCTCTTCCTCTTCCTCTTCCTTTCCCTTTCACTCTTCCTTCTCCTTCTCCTTCTCCTTCTCCTTCTCCTTCTCCTTCTCCTTCTCCTTCTCCTTCTCCTTCCCCTTCCCCTTCCCCTTTCCCTTCCCCTTCCCTTTTCCCTTTCTGTTCCTTTTTTTGGTTTGTGTTCATACAGACTTTTGTTTAAAGAAAAAAACTACCAACAACAAAGCAAAACAGTTATTATGTATCTCTCTCTGTTTTGCTTTGTTGTTTTCTTGTTCATTTTAACACAATACTGCCAGATAATCCAATAGTTATAAATCAGTTTTGATGGTGCACATAGATGCTCAGTTAAGGGCTTCTCTATGCAAGGAAGCTATTCATGGAAAAATACGTAACAGCTATTCTAGAACAATTCTGCATGTGCATTTTTTTAGTTTAGAATAAGTGTTTCCATTTTAACTTGGTTTCTTTGTTTTTTGCTTCCTGAAAAATGTATCAAAAATTTCATTCCCTTCTAGTTAGTTTCTGTGGATAAGACCTAATTTTAAAATTCTACAATAGAGGATGAGAATTCTTCAGATAATTTTAAACAAGAACCATTTTACACTCGTGGGACTCATCATCCTGTAGACAATTGCATTACTCATTATAGAATTATGCTTCTGCCCAAAAAGTTTTTACAATGAGTAATATTGAAAACATTATAAATAACATTGATTTCTCTGAGAAAATCCTTGCCATCCATAGTCTTGCACATATGGCTGCACACAGGAAGTAATTTTGAACAAAACTGCTTTATTTCACTTGTACGAGGCTTGTACAAGGACAAAAAGCAAAGACAGATGTCTTTTTAATGTAGCTCAGTGCTACATCTACCCCTTGAGTGTTGTCTATGATCAGTTTAACTCTTCCTACGTCTTGACACTCTTCTGTGATCCCCCCTTCATTACTGCATATCCATTCAGTTTTGAAGACTCTTGCAAGATCCACATTTTAGCTACCATCTCTTTAACTGCTTCACTGTCATCAAGATTGCATGTTTGAATTTTTTACGGCTAATGTAGGTTTTAAAGCCTTGTTTTTTATCACTGAAATCTGTGTCATAGCCTAAATTAGCAACATGTTAATAGAATAAAATACAGTCATATGAGAAAACAGTTGACATAGATCTTCATCTATGTCTTCATCATCTTCGTCAGCAAAATAAGTGTAGAAGTAGGGTTGTTAAGTATGATAGTCTGAAGATATGAAGGCAAATCAAGTGGTAACTAAGGATAATTTTAGTGCATAAGTTGGTATATTGGACAAATGGCACTCCTTCAAATTTGTCTAAAATCTGATTTGTTTCTCCCAGCTGTATAAATTAATATGATAAAATAGAATACTTCTTCATACAAGCTTATCTTGACATGCCAATATGTCTATTTTTCTTGTTAAAACTACTTATATTGCTCGTTTTTCAAGTGCCAATGATAAGGATGCCTCTTATTCTGTCCTTTTAGATCCCTGGAACTTCTTCTGTTGTTCAGAAAAAATGGAAGTCTCTGCAGTCCTCAGCACAGCAACGAGGGCTGGGACAGTCAACAAAGTCAAAGATCAGTGCTGTGGCAGCTGAAATAAAACAGATTCGTGCAAGAAGGAAAACAGCACGTATGCTAATGGTTGTCCTCCTGGTTTTTGCACTTTGCTATCTGCCAATTAGCATCCTCAATATCTTGAAAAGGTAAAGTTTATCCCAAAATGTAAACACTCGGTAAAGTTTTCTGTCTAAAATCAATCCTCCATTATGAGAATCTTAATATTCTGACAGATACTTTTGAAGGACAAAGCCTTCTTATTTCATGATAAAGAAACTGAAAATAAGCATATATTTGCAAGAAAAAAATGAACCTAACTTATCTACAGTACTGAAAATCTAGGACAGATTGTACAAGCCTTATTAGTAATCTCTTCCTCATGAAAGTGATCTATCTTATCTTCTCATTAAAACTTGCCATTTACATGGAAGTACAGATTGTTTGCTGTAAATGAACCCTGGAAGTGCATTTCCCTAAAACAGCAGCTGAAAGCTGCCAGAGAAAATAGTGTAATGGCTTAGCCCTAAGGACTTTTACCCAAGCTTCATCAAGTACTGTTTTGAAACCCAGTTTAGAATCTATTTTTAGGATAATCCTTCAGTTTTTCCATTAAGCTGTTGTTTTTGGGGTTTTGCTTTTGTTGTTTTTTTGTGTATTTTTTTTTAACTTTTTACCCTTTTCTCTCCTTCTCATTTGAGATGTAATTGTTTACACTGTTTTTGTACAGAGCTTGACAAGTTTTGATATAGTTACATCTCTTGAGACCACTGACATACTGATAAATAACGACATATAGCAGAAGGTTTGATTTTGAAGCTATTAACTGACTTCAAGAGGCAAAGGATCCTTAAAAAAGGAACATTGTTTTGTTGGTACTTGAGAAATATTTGATTTTTAAAGTTGGATTTGGAGGCTAGAATACATCTCACTGAATTCTGACATTTTTCTGAGAGTCTGATTTAAGCACTTTTCATGCTCAAATCACTTAGTAGGCAATACAGAAATAAAGAAGTATTTCCAACTCAGGCCCCATCTGGTCTAAACCATAGAGGAACTACAGAGGCTCCTTCCACTACACTAGCAGAGTAGGCCTGCAAGTAGATGTGTGTTTAAAAAGAAAAAATTGGGCGTAAGGAATCAGGGCAGATTTCTCTGGAGTACAGAAGCTGCTACTGTGGCCTCCATAGCTCAGTTCTTGGCCAGTTCAGTGCCTTTCCAATTCCACAGAGATCCTGTTGAATAACAGGTCCCAGAGCTGGAAATCCCAGTTATATGAATTGGTCAGAAACAACATTTCCCAACTTATCTAGCACCCACTGATGTTGCTACATAGCAGAAAAGTCATGTATCTGCACTTTTCCGAAGTGCTTATGTTTTATATTGTGCAAAACCACCAAGTATAGACGCTGAGCCACAGGGAGAGGACTTTATACTCTCAAGCAAACAGAAGCATTGAATGAGCTTTTCAGATACTGCAAATAAGTAATCAAAGGAACAATTAGGCTAGAATTTGGTAATTAATCCTTTTTATATGATTTCTAATTTTGCCATCTTTCAGGTTTGATTTTCTTTTTCCTTAGGGTTTTTGGGATGTTTAATCACGCTGACGACAGAGAAACCGTATACGCCTGGTTCACGTTCTCACACTGGCTTGTATATGCAAACAGTGCAGCCAATCCTATTATTTATAACTTCCTCAGTGGTAAGTTGCAGTTATCTAGAATTCAAATTTAATGTACAGTTTAAATGTAATGAGCCATAGTAAATAAGAATAATGACTGCATAACGTCAGCTGCACTCCTCCAGAGAGAGCTAGATCCTGTTTCCTGATGAATCCCATTATCTTCAGACTATCTACCTATAACTAACCAAAAGAGTGCCAGGGCCCAAGTCCAAGTGCTTGAATTCAACTGTCCATGCCATTAGTTTATTGGAGAAGTCACTGGCATGACTTCGGTCTGAAACAATTACAATTCTCCTAAATCACTGGATAATGTCTGAATTAGCACAGCCCAAGGGCTGTCCCCAGTTGACATTTTCTATGCAGCTATCAGGTTTTGCAGTTTGCAAGTGTCTAATTATACTTGCAGGGCCAGACTGTGCCTAGTTTCAAGGTTAATGAACCAATCAGGATGCTGTTTACTTACTAGTCTATGTTTGTCTTAGTTTGTTATTCGTCTTAGTCGGCTATGAGCTGCAGAAACATGATCAAAACTGGTGATATTACAGCAGAGAGAAAAAAGTTTGGTAATCCTCACTACACGTTTTCCTTTTGTGTTCGTTTGTGTGTGTGTGTGTGTGTGGTGTCTAGTGTGAGGATGATCTGAACAATTTATCCCAAGCTCTGAAAGCAGACTACTAGGTGTTGAATACATTTTAAAAAATTTATTGGAATTGAAATACAGAATAACCTCTCTCATTTCACATGTAAAGTAATGATGCAGTCACTTAAGCCTACTATTGCTCAAATAGTTGTTTGTTTTTTTTTTAATGTGTTGTTAATCAACAAACTATCCATACCTTAATTTCATAGGTCGTTCTACTTTGTCCATCCTGTCTTGTGAATAATTATTTAGACTTCATATCATATCGCACATATCTTCTTATGAAGATTGTATTTTGTCTTTCCCCACTAAAAATGCCATTTAAAATGTCGTTTGCTGCTTCAGTGGTGATAGAAAAACATGTTAATGTTCTGGATTAATTTTGCATTAGATAACTCCTTTTTTTCTAAGCTATAAAGTTGTTTGAAACACGGTTTACAGTACAATTTTTTGTCATTACTCTTTTCTTCTGTTTGACAGGGAAGTTTAGAGAAGAATTTAAAGCAGCGTTTTCTTGTTGCGTCTTTGGTATTCACAGTCACCATGATGAACGACTCACAAGAGGTCGTGCCAGTACAGAGAGTCGAAAATCTTTGACCACCCAGATCAGCAATTTTGACAATGTTTCAAAACATTCAGAACATGTTGTACTGACCAACATAAACACACTTACGGCAAATGGTAATGCACTAATTACCCACTGACAGTATCATTGTCCCCATGTCTTTTGGTGCTGTGCTAGTAAAATCTCACTGTGCATAGAATAGTCTTTGAGTATAATGAGAAAAGGTGTTCACAATTAAGAACTGACAGTAAGAAAAGTAAGTTACAAAATATATTTTACAGAGTATGCTGCAAATTTGATAATATATTTATGAATCAAAATTTCATTTAATCTCCTTCAAAGTCTGAGCTGCAATTGGAGAAGGCATAGAGTAAAAATATTTTGTTTAAATATTTTCTTCGGATCTCTGCATCCTTTAATTTCCTAAGTAAACACAGAATAGGTAGCTGAAGATGTGAAAATAATTTTCTGTGATGTTGCAATCTGTTTATAAGCAGATATATTTTACTTAGAGCTAACTAGCTCTAAGTAAATGTCCTTGGCTATTTCAAATGATCTGCTCACCAAGAATTCTGATGTGAGTTGAGCTGATCAAATAAGAAATTGGCATGAACTTCTTTTCTCACATTTTGTGTTCTTTTCCGTATTGGATAGGTTTTTATATGTATTCAGAATCAGTGGAGAAGCCACTCTTGATTTTTCTCCAATACAGGTTGATGAGCATAGTTAAAAATGAAAGGCAGAACTTGTTCAAACTTTGCTAGTTTCATGTAGACACTAAAATGACTGTGCAATTCTCTAGTCTTGTGAATAAGTGGAAAATGACATCTGAATTATGATTTTATATTTTTTATTACATATATATACATTATATTTTATATTCTAGTAGGATTTTACAAAAGATGGAATTCATCCCTGCTCTCCTAGATATGTGAGCACTGTTTGTCTAGAAGTTATCTTAGGCTAGGACTATATAGCTATATATTGTTAACAGAGAACTTGGTGTTTCTAAGGACAGGTAACCAATTCTTAATACAGGTGCCTAAAAAGAATGAAATTAATTACATCTGAAGGTGCAGGCCTTCCACTACTGCACGTGACTCACTTAGTTCTGCTTCAGGAAAGAAGTCTTTTAAAATTTACAGTGAAATTTGAAACATTTTCTGGCAGATTATTTTGTTAGTAAATCAACACTTCTATACCATTCAGAGAAAATGCCAGTTGCAGGGTGAGCCAGCCAACTGTTACAAGCAGTAAATTCAGCTTAAAATTCTTATATTACAGGTATTACAGCTACATTCAGCCCTTTGAAGTCAATGGAACTGCATCTCCACATACCAGGGGTGAGCGTGTCTTCAAATTTAGATGAAGCAGTGAGAATTTCTGCAGGATGCACTGGCAACACAGAGAACGCAGAATGGGATAAATTTGTCCCTAGTGTAACTAAACTTACCTCAATGGAATTACAGCAAGGATGACTTTGGCTCAATACAGCTGAGAATGGCAATTGTTTTTAGCTGTGTTACAGACTAGAACAACTGGACAAAAGGATTCCTGCAAAACGACTGCCTCTTCTACTTCTTCTCAGTCTTATGGAAACCTACTTACCTCAGTATGAGCTAAGCAACATGTCTTTACAAGTCTTTTTAAAGAGTGGATTGTATCATACTTTGTAAATACTGTAGATATTTATTTTTATATATTTTAGATGCTGTGGAATGTTCTAAAATGTACCATATAAAGAACTCTACGTATTTGAAAGAAGTCTCAAACATTTATTTATATCCTGTTTCTATTAATGAATGACTTATTTACAAGGAATACTTACTTATGCACTAGTGGTATTCTGGAATTACTTTGCACTTCTTTTTCTGCTTTTTCACTTGTAGTAAATTCTGTATTAAGGAAGTTTCACTTCAGATTGATTTTGGGAGATTCCAGACTACTTTTCTAAGAACAGACATGCTTCTGAGACATGAATTCAAAGTGCTGAAAGTCACACATATTTTCAAAAGTTACACTAAATAGCCAGTCTCTTTTTCTGCAGATGAGTGCCTAAAAGGTAACTACTTAAATAAAACTTGCATGACTTTCAAAGGTGCTATTCCTACTCAGGCCTACTAGGAATAACAAGTATCAGCACTTCTGAAGAACTGGACATTTTAACTTTGGCAACTTCTTTTAGTCCATAGTGTTCTGCAAGTGCTGCTCCAGGAGATCTCTGAAGACCCTTAAAATAGAAAACACTGGTTATTTTGCTTGCTCTCACAGTTTCTCTCTCATCTGCCATTTAATACCAATGGTACAAACATTTAACGATTTTATGTGCCAAGAAAATGTTGATTTTTGAACAACTAAAATAAAGTATTTCTCTCTCGAAATTTAGAGGAGATATTTCATTGCTCTAGCAGATGAAGTACTCACTCATCTACTTTTCATTCATGGGAGAAACTCTTTGGCCTGGGGCTTCCTGCCACATACGGTAGTATTTTTCCTTGGTGAATGAATCTGATACATCAATGGAGCTTTAGTGTACTGGGGGTAAAACTGCCACTGGCAGTTTTTGACTCCTGCAACCCTTTGACATGATGGAAATTGAGGATCTGGCCTAAATTTTTTGTTTTGTAAGAAAAAAACAATTCTTTTTTCTCCTCTTTGTTCTCTTTTCTGACTTTCACTTATATCCTCAAAATATTATGACACTACTAAGAACTTATTTTATTCATAATTAGAACTTCATATTCTTTTGTGTGAACAGTATGAGATGCAATTTATTCACTGACAAAGTTCTTTTTTTTTTTTTTTTTTCTAGACAGAGTGAAAGGCATATCTTGCAGACACAAGTGATACAATCAAAAGTTATCTAAGGTTTGAAATTGTAATGGTGGGCACAGTGTTAACTAATTCTTGCCAGTATATCAAATATGGTTACCTAGTTAAATACTTTATTATCTTGATGAAAAAAAAAAAATGTGCATACAAAATGTGGTGTTTTCTGAAAGAAATATTTTTTGAGGCAAATATTTTTATTTCTTTATTTATTCATTTTATTTTATAAAATTTGAGAACTACTTAGATATCTTTTCCTGGAATTTTTCTTTGAAGATAAACCCTACGCTGATAATGGAACATACTGAAGAAGAGAGCAGTGGATATTAATAAAAAGAAATTGCTGAGAGAAGACAGTGTAAGATTTTGCGACTAATACAGAAGTTAATGCCTTTTGTATGTGGCAAAAACTAAAAGCATTTTAAGCATCTGGACTTCTCCTGACACGTGAATTAAAACTTATAATTAAATTTTCAGAGAACTGGAAGAGAAGTCGGCTGACTATCACATCAACTTTACAAAATTAGAGCATTTTAAGGTAAGGGATCCCATGAGAACTGGTTGGTGCTTAAACACCACTTCTTCCAAGCTTGTAGAATCCCTAAGAGTAAGAAATTGAAGAAAGGTGGGAAAAGGCCTGCGTGGATGAGCAAGGAACTTGGATAAATTAAAAGGAAAGAAGAGGATCCATGAAATGTGGAAAAAGAGCTTGTAAAACTGGGAAGAATATACGAATGTTGTCGGGGCCTGAGGGGATGCAACAAGGAAGGAAGACTAAGGTCCTCTTGGAATTATTCCTTGCAAAGGAGGTAAAGAATAAAAAAAAGGTTTTTTTAAGTATGTCTACAATAAAAGGAAGATTAGGGAAAAGTGAGTCCCCTAATAAACGAGTTGGGTGCCTTGGTAACAGGAGACACTGAGATAGCAGAGATCCTGAATGCCACCTTTGCTTCAGTCTCTGATGATAAGACTAGCACTCAGGAATCCCAGACCCTGGAGGTAAGAGAAAGAGATAAAGGTAGCCTTTCCTGTGGAGGATCTGACCAGAGAGCATCTATCCAAAATCAACACAAACAAATCCATGGGCTCCCATGGGATGCACCCACATGTGCTGAGAGAACCGGCAGAGGTGACTGCTGAACTGCTGTCTCATTTTTGAAAGGTCTTGGCAAATGCGAGAGGTGCCTGTAAACTGAAGGATAGCCAATGTCACTCCAGTCTTCAAAAAGGGGAAGAAGGTGGATCCGGAACTAGGCACGTCAGCCTCACCTTCATCCCTGGAAAGGTGTTGGAACAACTTGTCCTGCATGCCATCTCCAAGCAATTGAAAGAGAAGAAGGTTATCAGGAGTAGTCAACATAGATACACGAAGGTGAAGTCATGCTTGACCAACCTGGTAGCCTTTTAAGATGTCATCACTGGCTGGGCAGGAGAAGAGCAGTGGATGCTGTGTACCTTGACTTCAGCAAAGAGTTTGACACTATCTCGCACAACATCTTCCTTATGAGACTTAGAAAATGTGGGATAGATGAGTGGATAGTGAGGTGGATTGAAAACTGTCTGAGTGGTAGAGCTCAGAGAGTAGTGATCAGCACTCTGTTTGGAGGCATGCAATTAGCAATGTTTCCCAGGTGTCAGTGCTTGGTCCAGTCTTGTTCAACATCATCATCAGTGACCTGGATGAAGGGATAGAATCTGCCCTCAGCAAGTTTGCTGATGTTACATAACTGGGAAGATTGGCAGACACACCTGAGGTTTAACAAAAGCAAGTGTGGAGTCTTGCACCTGGGGAGGAATAGCTGCATGCATCAGTACAGATTAGGGGATAACCTACTGGAAATGAGCCCTGTAGAGAAAGACCTGGGAGTCCTGGTGGACAACAGGTTGGCCTTGAGTCAGCAGTGTGCCCTTGTGGCCAAGAAGGCCAGTGGTACTTTGGAATGCATTAGAAAGAGTGCAGAGGTGATCCTCCCCCTCTACTCTGCCCTGTTGAGGCCGCATTTAAACTATTGCATCCAGTTCTGAGCTCACCAGTTCAAAAAAGACAGGAATCTCCTAAAAGGAGTCTAGCAGAGGACCACGAAGATGATTGAGGGCCTGGAGCATCTCCCGTATGTGAAAAGCCTGAGTAACCCGGGTTCATTCAGTCTGGGAAGGAGAAGACTGAGAGGAGATCTGATTAAAGTTTATTAATTTCTGAAGGGAAGTAGGAGGCAAATGAATGAGGTCAGGATCTTCTTGGTTTTGTGTAGCATTAGGACAAGGAGTAATGGCCTAAAATTTTGAACACAAAAACAGGTTGCCCAAAAATGTTGCAGGTTCTTCTTCTGTGTAGATATTCAAGGCTTGTCTGGAGGCCTACTTGTGTGACCTGTAGGGAACCTGCTTCAGCAGGGGGGTTGGACTAAGTGATCTCTTGAGGTTCCTTCCAACCCCTGCAATTCTGTGATTTTGTGATACCTGTATCAGGTGATTTCACTTGTGAGTGTGAATGCAAAAATTTTACCTGGGATCACGGGAATTTTGGACATGTTTACAGGAGAGAAGGCCGTGGTATGGTTCTCCAATTCAAGAAGTTCTTCAAGCAGCAAATGGTTATCATTTGAGTATTCCAGGAAGGACTACCCTACACTGGCTGTAGTCTTACACTTGTCCACAGTATCTAGCATACTAGGAGGACATGGCTAGGTGGACCTTCCATCTGAACTCTTACAGCATTATCAATGTTGTGGTCTGTACTATCTACTCATACTTCTGTTTGTTCATAACTTCACTCATATGTTTTGTTGTTGAACTGTCAAGTTGCCTGAGAGTTGCTCAGGAATTGAAGAAAATTACCCGTTTATGTAAACATGTTTCTCTTAGCTTATTCCTTGCAGAAGTGTATTTAAACTGGAAAAGTGAAACCATGCTGTAGCTCACATTTATCTACGGAGAGGCAAACTCATCCAACTTATCACTGATTATAAAATTCATGGTTGGTTTATCTTTTATTAAGTAGTTAAGTCAGTTTCTGACACTTGTATTGCAAGGGGTTGTGTTTTTTTAAATATGTATCTTAGCAAAGTTCCTAGTCTGTATATACTTATAGTTTGTTTATCTGGTTTGTTGTCCAGCATGGTCCACAGTAACTCTTTCTCTTTACTAGACTATGATTCAGTCCTACAGCTGAGATGATAATAACCAAAATCACTTCTGAAGTGCACTGAAAAGTGCTTACAGAAGATGGTCAAATGCGGCAACAGTTAAACAAAACTGAATGTTTGAAAATGCATTTCAGAAGAGATTATAGGAAACAGCGAAAGCCATGCTCTGTTTGTTCCTCCTGAAATCAAGTGCTAGCTGAACACAGGAGGAATGCCAAATTGCATGATAAACGCCTAAGAACTACCTCTCACCTAGAGGCAGTCCAGCTCAACTGCTACTACAAAAAGACAAATGAGAAGGGTATAACAAATGCAGCAGGGGAAGCTCTGGGCGTGGGGAGAGGCTTGGGCTGCTCCCGCCCGAAGGAGGTGGGAAGAGGAAGGTACGAAGTGTGCTCGGGCAGGCTGGCAACTCTGCCTTCCCCGCCGCCGCCGCGGCCCCGGCCCCGCTTCCCCTCGTCCCGCCGTGCGCCTTCCTCGGGGCCCGGGCCGGGCCGGACGGGCGCTGTCCCCGCTCCGGGTGCTGAAGGGGCGGCGCCGCACGGCACCTGCCGCTGCTCGGCGCGGAGCTGCACCGCCGGCGGCCGGCCATGGCCGCGCTGCTCTGCTTCGGTAAGTGCGCGGGCGGCGGGGGGATGCGGCGCCGCCAGGAGGCCCCTTCCACTGGCGAGACGCTAGGGTGAGCAGACACCTGGAGAGGGCTCGTACCGGTGTGCGATATCCAGGCCCTGCGGCTTGGGCTTCTTCAGCCTGGCCCGCTAACGAGTCAAAGGTAAAGCAGAGAAGCACCACCAGAACTGATAAGAAGTTGAGCAGGTGAGGAGATCTGCAAACGGGATGTTTTTTGTAAATAAATAGGCACTTGTTTGCTAGTGGGATAGTGTTCAGTGCTGGCAGTGCTATGTGGGTAATTATTGACATTTCCCCTTGAGTGTGAATGGATAAAAGTAGGAAAAACAACAAAGATGGTAGAAAAAGAATTGGTAGAAATGAGTATGAGACAAGTTTTTATTTCTTCTGTCCTGTTTTTTCCACTCTGTACATTTTGTATACATGCTGCTCCTCTTGTTACCGTCTCACTACTCTAAATTTCTAGTCCACTGTTAAAAACATTCTATAGGGAGTTCTTCCTAGGATATTATTAGAATAAAGCTGTCCTTTTTCACATTTGTAACCCCTGATAACAACCACTGTTTGTTTTTCTCCTTTGGAGCTTGCTATCTTTCTACTCTTGCACAGCTCAAGAAATCTTAGTTTCCTGTTCATTATTATCTAGCAGATAATCATTCTTTAGTCTTGAAAGAAAGACTGTAATTAGGAGCTGTGCCTTAGCTCCTAATATGGGCAATGAAGGTGCTAAAATATCCATTTTCCCCCTTCCTCTTTAGACATCAAGTTCTTAAAAAAAAATAAACCAAACCAAACCAGAGCAAAACAAACAAACAAACAAAAAAATCCCGCATCTTTACACTTGTACAAAAAGAGATAACTGTAGAAGTCTAAATTTAAGTGCCTTTGTGTCAAACTATATCACTCTAAAAGTTTTAGCTCAAAATATCTTTTAGATGCCCTGAACTTTCCTAATAGCAAACCAGTTTTGAGTACTCCAAACACGAAATAAATAAAGAAAGTGATTAAAGTAATGGCTATCAGTTCATGCAATTGTGCTTAAACCGGAATGTATTGGATTCTAAAATCATAGATGAGTCTGCTTTGTGTTGACTTGACACTGCATGCCCTCTGTGTGCTGCTGAAGATATAAAAGATCGCAATGTATCATTACATCTGGAGAATCCCTTTTTTTTAGGACTGAATTAGCCTCAGTCACAGATTATTTTGCAAAAGCATCTCTTCCATTTTATAGACACAGTTTCCAGTTGGGTTCAAAATACATGCACTCTGATATAATCCTAACAAAGGAGCTGCTAACGAGTTGTTTAATTAATCCCCAGCTTAACTATTCATTTTTAGCTACAGGTGTTGAAAAGTTTTCTTAACAGGAGTACTCTTAACAGGTACTGCAGATCCTAGCCAAAGATGTATATTTCCCATTGTATCAGTACCTAAGCATATTTAAATGATCACCCAGCAAAGCATCCTTTCTTAAAAAGTTCCTGGGTACATAATTTTTCACTGCCTTGTATATATAAGTCATTTTCACCTGTACAGCATTATACCATATAGTTACATTTTCTGTCATCTAAATAATCGGTAACTTCACATTTAGAAATAATTATTTATAAACAACCCCAGGAATTGCATTTTGTAATAATGAGCCAAAAATTATTCCTTTGGGTGAGCCAGTTTGACATTTTTCAATGTTGACTGCAGAAGTTGCTTCTATCAGTCTTCTAGGCTAAGAGCAGCAGCCTGCATGAGTGTTCCAGGCTTAAAATGATTGATCTCACAATCAGCTCAGCATAGATCTGAGAAATGGGAGGGTTATGGACAAGTGGGAAAGGACAAGAACCAACTTCACTCTCTTATAATGAGCGCATGTGGCCTCTTCTGTGTCCCTGCAGCACACTAAATGCTATTGCACCTATTAGAAATAAAGTATTAAATGTTACAGCATCCTTATCAGTGTGTCTCCACAAAGTGATCCCTGTCATTATATCAAGCTAAACATCATTAACAGACGGGATAGCATCACCTCTAAATAGTAGGAGCTCTTTGAGATTATTAAGAGCTATATTTCATTTCTTGTTTCTCAAATGCATCATTTGAAAGACTTAATTTATCTGAATAATGGCCTGACAAGCACAAAGAGAACAGTTCATCTCTCCTGCAGTTCATATTTAAGGATTTAAAGAGAGATGGAAACTCCTCAAATTCCACTTGAGCTTGACTGAATGTCATAAAAAATGACATTGCCCAGAGAGATGCAGCATTCTTCAATAACCAAAGAAAACTCCCAGCAAATGTTCAGCAGCTAGTTTGATAAAACCTTAAATAAGTGTCTGAAACTTAATTTTACATCAAATACACATGGTTACGAATTAGAGGTTGTTTTACCATGGAAATGTTGATGAAATAACTAACCCCCAACTGGTTTGTCTTCTCATAGCAAAGCAATCTTATTTTCTACATTTAAGACAGAGATGGTGCTGATTTAAAATTCTTTACCTTGAAAACTTTCAATCAGTCTTTCATAAGTTTTAGATGCAATGAACACTGACTTTAGGTTCAGTGCACTCAGGGAAATAGATAAAGAGATAAATGTGGGGATTGCTTTCAAGATGATGATTTGCAAAATAAAATCAAAGAGATTGAATAAAAGTTTATTATCTAACACTTGTAGAGCTGTCAGATCTCTTTTGTGTCTTCTATTCATAGGAATTCCTGTGTACCCTGCAGTTTCATTAAATTGCAATTAAATAAAGTGATACATCCTCTGAATGTCATACTCAATCTTCTTTTCTGCACTTTATTGTGGCTCTCAGAACTCGTCATTTCTATATATGTGTACGCAGATGTCATACATAGCTATGGCTAATGTTACAATACTGGGATAAAAGCAATATGAAATAAGCCACACTGCAACTTTGAAAATTTTGGAGTTTTCAGCTGTAAAACTGAGGAAAACCTTTGTTCTAATAAAAAGTAAATTACTAGATCATTTTAATCGATAGATAAAATACAGTAAATTGAATTGTTATAATCTAAGTGCTAGCAAGAAAAGACAATACTCGTTGTCTTAAATAGTCATTATATTCTGTTTTACAGTGCTGCTTATGTACTTCACAAGTCTATCTACTGCCCAGACTACTGATTGCCCGCGCTTCAGTAAACAATGTATGAATGCTGCAAATGGGTGTGAGAGTGTCTGGACTATTGTTGAAGATGTCTGCAATATTTCAGGTAATTCTTTACGGTATATACTTTGTCATTTTGAATGGCTGAGTTGTTGCACTTTTGTAGTGTGCCATAATATTGCTGTGGTAAAAGACTGAAATCAGTGAGATTCCAAAGAGCAAATGGCAGCAGCAGACAGTTGATACCTGAAATCCTTGACTGTAGCCTATCCTGTCTATTTTTACTAACAGTGATGATGTCCCTTAAATAAGGTGGTAAATGTAATTTCCATAATATAAGCAATGTCAGAGTCCGAGCCAACTCAGCAAATCTGAATTCAGGAGAAATTATTCTCCTGTGGGATTATGATAAACTTTTTCCAGCATGTAACTAGAATAAGATTTCAGCCTTTCTCTCTGTAATTCAGAGTTGATTTCATACCATAACCAAAACAATGGAGTAGTCTGCTAGAGTAATTTTTAATACTGTATTATAGTAAGAAGCAAATTAAATAAAGCATTCCTGATAGAAAGTTGTTATATAGGAATGTATATTGTCTTTTTTCAGTGAATAGTACCTATATATCTGAGTGATTCACTTCCAGGGAGTGATGGTACACTAAATTGCAGGTTATGAATGTGACTAATCCTCCTTGAATTGTTAAACAGATTCTTACAGAAAAGAAAGCAGAAAATCAGTCTCTCTCGCTCTTTACTTCAATTCCAGTGTTTGGTGCATCATTCCCATCATTTCCTAGTGAAATATGATTACGTTCTAAGTGAGAGAAGACCAGGTATATGTCTGATCTAAAACTCATCTTAATCTCAGTTGTAGAAAATGTTGCTTTCTCCATAAACCTATTATCTTCTTGAACAAACCATGTAAAAGTCCTTAGGTATCAGTCACCACCTCTCCCTTTTTCGTAATCTCAATTCTTATGTAAAGGTTTAAAGAGCTCACCATTAACTATTAAGTATTCACTTATGAGATGATATGAATAGGGAAGGGAGAAAAAGAGTGGCAAAACAGCATGGCAGTGTCAGTAAGATGAGCTAGTAATGTTTCTTCTGAGTACTGATAAATGTCAAGAACCTTGATCCACCAAAAGCTATGCCTGTACACAAAAAATAAAATGGTCCAGGGACTATTTTCTGGCCCTGAATTCAACTGTTATGGGACAGCACGGACCCATACAGATAAATTTAGCGCTGGCTGTAAAAAAAATGCCTCAAAGGAGTGATTCTAGATCACAGAATCAATCATAGAACCACCAAGGTTGGAAAAGACCTCCAAGATTATCTAGCCCAATCATTCCCTTACCACCAATATTTCCTGACTAAACCACATCCTTTAGTTTCATGGATTCCTAGAATGAATCAGAGAATCATAGAATGGCCTGGGTTGAAAAGGACCACAATGATTATCTAGTTTCAACCCCCTACTTTGTGCAGGGTCGCCAACCACCAGACCAGGCTGCCCAGAGCCACATCCAGCCTGGCCTTGAATGCCTCCAGGGATGGGGCATCCACAATCTCCTCCCACTGTGTCACCACTCTCTGTCTCAAAAACTTCCTCCCAAAGGAGCAGCTCCAGGGCGAGTGAGTTAGCCACTCCCTGGGCAGCCCATTCCAGTGAGAAGAAATTTTTCTTAACATCCAACCTGAATCTCCCCTGGCACAACTTGAAGCCATTCCCGCTCGTCCTATCGCTGTATATGTGGGAGAAGAGGCTGACCCCCACCTTGCCACAACCTCCTTTCAGATAGTTGTAAAGAGCTATAAGGTCTCCCCTGTGCCAGTTCTCTCAGCTGCTCCCTATAAGACTTACGTTCAAGACCTCACAGCTTCATTGCCCTTATGTTATGTTGTCCATGCTATCCTCACCATGTAGCTGACTCAATCCATACCAGGTACCATACTAAAATGCAGCAGTCTAGACACAGACACTTGCCATTAGCCTAGTCTGTGCCTTGGTCTTATTCATAAATTCAGCCAAAAGGATTTAGATATTTAACTGCCATTTCTAGCAACTTCATTCTATAAGGTAGGTACTGGGAATCACCGTGTCCTTCTCCTTATATGGACACGGCTTGAACAAAATCAGCCATCTTCTGATGCCATGATCCATTCAGAGCTTCAAATGAAGCAGAGTTCATGAAGTGAATGTCCCTCTGTTTGTTGCGACTTCGGAGTCCAGCCTCATTTTCGGTCTGTGTGGCACACCAGCAGAAGAAGACACTGACTTCACACCTGCAGTGTGAGCTACTTGAATGCTCCTGCTGTCTGATTGGTTGCAGAGATTTGCACCCAGGTGTCCCATGTCACAGGCAGTATTTAAAATAATTAGAGCAGCAAGTCATCTGTGAATTCTTTCTTAGTGTGTCCTGTTCCAGATACACATCTGCTTCGTACAGAATGGCCAAGTACTTTTAAGAACAGACAGAGTAAATGAAAAATACATGATGTCCTAATGGCTACAACAGTCCCCAGAGGAAATGGGTTTCAGCTCGTGCTCTGTTGAGTTTTTAAATATTTTATGAGCAGTTTCAAAAAGTGGTATTTGAAGAAAAGTATTGAAATATGGTGTACTTTCAGGATCAAGACAGTGAGCTAAAGACGAACTGTCTAGACCCACGCTTCTTCCTCAAATTAGAAGATGAATTTGCATCTTTCACGTCATTCACGAAGGCATTAGCACCAAGGCTACTTGACATAAAGGTCAGGATTTGCTCTGTAGCTTTCATCACAGCCAGGTGAGGTGAACCAGCATGATCAAGGAATCCCAGGCACCCATACAGACTGGAAGGAGCGGACCTTTAGAGCAGCCCTATGGAGAAGGACCTGGGGGTCTTGATGGATGAAAAACTTAGTATGAGCCAGCAGTGTGCCCTTGTGGCTCGGAATGCAAGTGGTATCCTGGGCTCCATCAAAAAAGGGGTGGCCAGCAGGGACAGGGAAGTGATTGTTCCCTCTACTCTGCCCCATCTGGAGTACTGCGTCCAAGTGTGGAGCCTCCAGTACAAAAAAGACAGGGAGCTGTTGGAGAAGGTCCAGAGGAGGGCCACAAAGATGATCAGGGGACTGGAGCATCTCCCCTATGAAGACAGGCTGAGGGAGCTGGGCTTATTCAGCCTGGAGAAAAGAAGGCTGTGGGGTGACCTCATTGCAGCCTTTCAGTACCTAAAGGGAGGCTACAAACAGGAGGGGAATCAACTTTTGAAAGGGTTGATAACTGCAGGACAAGGGGAAATGATTTTAAGTTGAGGGAAGGGAGATTTAGGTTGGACGTCAGGGGGAAGTTCTTTACATAGAGAGTGGTGAGGTGCTGGAACAGGCTGCCCAGAGAGGTTGTGGATGCCCCATCCCTGGAGGTGTTCAAGGCCAGACTGGATGGGGCCCTGGGCAGCCTGATCTAGCATTAAATGAGGAGGTTGGTGGCTCTGCATGTGGCAGGGGGGTTGGAGATTCATGATCCTTGAAGTCCCTTCCAACCCTGGCCGTTCTATGATTCTGTGATCAGTTCTCTGGAATCCCCTTCAGATTTGTTGCATGTTCCCATGTTATGCTACTTCCCTCACTTATTCTCATGTGTATTTATTCACTGATATTAATGGCATATAACTGTGCCAGAGAACCCTTCTAAAAATAAACTCTTCCCGTGATTGCTTGTTTGGTTTTGCATTTGTAGATTTCCTTATGATAATAGGTTTTGGCAAGAACTCTTTGGTATTGCAGAACACTCAAATTATGTCTAGGACAAATTATTCTAAATGTGGTTAGTATGTGCCATGACCTCAGAGGGTTTGAACCCACAATCAGACACTGATGGTACCTCTAAGAGAGTCCACTGGAACAGCAACAGAAAACTTCAACAACAGCTTTATTACTGAGAACATTATACTACCTGTCAAGAGTACTCCACCTGTGAAAGAGAAAAAACTGAATGGGTGAGCTGTGTGAATGGAAAGAGTCACTTCAATGTTGAGCACAAACATGTTAGTTGGAGACAATAGGCAATGGGGTAAATATCGCTTTTACTAGGTTCTTTATGAAAACCTAACTACAAATGATAATCATGCTCCTGTTCTGTGTTACAAGTTCAGCAGTTTAGTCACTCAGGAGATAACCTCCAAGTTAAATGCATGCATTATCATGACCTTCATTTATTGCTCTCCAGAGCAGGACTGGGGACACTCAACCTAAGTGACTCCTTTAGTGACTCCTTTCTCAGTCACAATGTCCATCACTGCTTCTCTACTACAAAAGCTTTTTCAGAATCTCAACATATAGTCTTCTGAGACAAACCCTTCTTCTAATTTCTTTTCTATGTCTTGATATTGTGAAAAAAGGGGGATCAAAATGTCCATGAGATGGAAAAGACTAAAATATTCATTTTTCATTCTGAAAATTTTGAATCCAAAATTTTTGCTTTGAAAATATCAAAAACATTTCAGCATTGCAGAATGAAGATTTTTAAGGTTTGTTTTTTGTTGTCGTTTTTTTTTCTTCTTTTTATTTCATTGAAAACAAAAAGAAAAAAAAAAAATCTGAGCATACTTTTTTACTGAGTTTACTTTTCTTAGAATAACAGAATCACTGAGGCTGGAAAGGTTCACTGCAGATCTAGAGCAAGACCCTGGGTCAAGTAGTGTTGATTATAAGATGCCTTCCAGGAGTGTGTCCAGTTGGATTTTTAATATCTCCAAATATGGATCTCCACAATCTTCCTGGGCAACCTCTTCTTCTTTTTGACTACCCCCACAGTAAAAAAAAGTTTTTTACTGATCTTTAAGTGGAATTTCTTGCATTTCTGCTTGTGTCTTTTGTTCTGTCACTGCCTGATTCATCTTCCTCTCATCAGATATTTATATGCATGAATATCTGTGTAATCAGTACACCCCTGAGCTTTGCCTTCTCCCAGCTAAATAATCCCATCTCTCTCAGACTCTCTTCGTAAGGCTCCAATCCCTTCATCATTCATGGCACTTTGCAGTACACACTCAAGTATGCCCATGTCCCTCATATTCAGGAGTCCAGTATGGGGGACACGGTACTTCAGATGTGGTTCACCAGTGCTAGAGGGGAAAAACCCCATGCTTTCCTTCTGATGCAATTACAACTGAGATGACTGAAGAGCTGACTGTGCAAGAAGAGAGATTATCACCCTGGAACTTTAAGCTTCTGTTCTGTCACAGTTCTATCTGTGCTCACATGTACATCAATTACGTACATATAAATCAATCAGATAATGAAGAATGATTGCCAAGCATTAGGTCAGAGAATTTTTTTTTGTAAATGCCTTGGTAGCGTTTGTATAAGCTAAAATTTATTACCTAGAACTAATGAATGATAAAGTGAAATAATTGAAAACCAGCAATAAAATATTTTCTGCTGTTCATCACAGCTGAATCAACAGAGTGTACAAATAGACCAGTGCTGATAATAGGTTATTTCTACACAGCTTTCAAGAGGCCAGGCAAGGGGTAAATCTGATATGCTTGCTGATTCTCTTGATGTTCTTTGTAAGTTCATAGCCCCATAACCTACATCCTACCCCCTGCTGCTGTAATTCAGCAGTGTGTTTGTAGGACACAACGATGGAAGCGTGGCTGGTGCCATAAACATGGATGAACCGAGTGAAGCTGGGAAGCCTGCATACTGGGATTTGAATTTCTTTTCTTCTCATCTCTTCCCAGCTCCATCTGGAAGTGTCTGTAAACCCATCAGGAAAACAGTCAAAATTTTGTAAATTAACCACTTCTTACACAAGCTATTCTTTGCTGTTCTTTATCTACAACTGAAATTTGTCCTCCTAGTTGTATCCTGAAATTCTTTTATTATCCCTTTCTCACTTCGCAAAGTAGAATATCCTCCCACCTACCTCAGTGGATCTCCATAGCCCCCATGTCACCATGTACTTTCCTCCCTGTCTTTACTGTCAGAGAGTGCCCTATGCCCATGACCTTCAGTAGCTCCTATTAGACCTTCTGACTTCCTTGGCTACTAAGAAGAGAAAGAAACATGAGAGCTAAAGGCCAGGTCTTTCTCTACATCATAGAATCATAGAATCATGGAATCATAATCACAGACTGGTTTGAGTTGGAAGGGACCTTAAAACCTATCCATTTCCAACTACCTGCCATGGACAGGGTTGCTACTCACTGTATCAGGCTGCCCAAGGCCCATCCAACCTGGCCTTGAAAGCCTCCAGGGTTAGGGCGTACACTGCTGCTAAAAGTGCAGAAGGCAAGTTAAGATGGGATGGAGATGTCAAGGCAAGCCAAGGCACCATGACTTCACTGAGACAGGAGATGAAGTGGAAGTAGAGGATGGGAGCTGTAATCTGTGATAGACTACAACATCCCCCCGGAGCAGTGCACATCTTCATGGATCCCCAAACCCTCCTTAGTCAGTGATGGTAAATGGAGAAAATACAGTGCAGGCACCATTTGAAAAAGGATCCAGGAATGGTAAAATGGGGATGTACACTATTGTGAAGTTAATTCTCGTTCCTTGAGGCAATCCTGCCTCTTGCAGGTCTTCATCTCAGCTGCTTTCCGCTGCCATTCATGTCAGAAACCCCTAAATGACATTAAAGCTGTAATCACATTACAGTTGTCAGCAGCCATGGTGACAGAAGGCACTGCTCACCTGGAAAAGCAGCAAGGCAGGCAGCCAGGCACCACTGCTGACAGGAGCTGTAAGCAGTTTGTAGGTTAAAACAGATCTTCATGCTGCCCCATGACTAGTCTGAATCTCGTGAGCCCAATATATGTATGCCTTACCCTACATATGGTGAGATAACTCACATTCATGAAGCAAAGAGAGGGGAAAGTGCTGGTCTGGGGAGCTGCGTGCCTGCTTTCACAAGGCAGAACATGGCTTTCACATTATAAAGCTTTTTAAAAATGGTGATAAATTGTTTCCTGTATAACTTTCTTAACCAACTTGAAATTTTCTCAAGCAATAATGAATGCACTTGTAAAACCATTTAGTCCATAAAGCAGAGGGCCAACTGATTTATTTTGTCTCACACTGCTGAGTGGCCTCAGATCCCAGCTACGCTCCTCCTCTACTCCCCTCCCCTGCAGGTATTTCCATCACCAAGCTCCAGCACAGTGATGTCTGCTGGCTTACCTCACTGTGAACACGGTCCCTTAAATGAACTCCTCTGTAAGCCAAAAGTGCACTAATTCTGTTCAATTCCCATCAAAAGTAATCATTTTAACATTTTATGTACCTTGGAAGAGCGAGCAGAAACAGACATTCTGGCAGCAGGTCAAGCCCAATACAAAAAGGAAATATTGTGCCCACGTCTTTATTACATTGTTCTGAATATTATTTAAAATTTGTAAATTATGTCAGGTTTTCAAGGAAAATGAGGTTCAAGCCATCTTCTTGTGGCAAAACACATTATTTTTGTGCTTCAATTGAATTGTTTTATGTAACCATATCCCTTAAGCGTTCATAAGCATTAACAGCATTATAATTTTAACTGTGAGTTCCAGGTAATAGATGCAAGGCAGAAGATGCTATTGGCTGTAATAGAATCATCCAGGCTCTGGCTGACAAATATCCAGAATTTAAAAACTGTGTCTGCACTACAGATGGTCCCTGCAGCATCACAGCTATACTCGGGAATCGATGCAGTGCTGACAAAGGTAGTAGTTAAATGGGACGTTTTAATTGTGAAGAAGAAAGATTAAAATATAACTCTGTAACTCTCATTTTAACTAGATTCAAGTTTTTTTGTGCATTTCTCAAACCTTATAATTTACCCCCCTCAATATAGTTACGTTTTGTCTTTTCTATGATATTAACTCTCCAGCATGCACATGAAAGCAACGCTTTAAAACAAATAAAATTAGTAAAAGGCACATGAGGAATTCAAATGGTCTTGCAAACCCTTCCTCCATGCAATGGGAAGCAAGAGTGAAAACACTGGGTGTGCTGAGGTCTCCTCATTGCCTTGGATCTGTGTTACTCACATCCAGCCCTTGTGAATGGGAGTCAGTGTCTTGCCCCACTGTGCTGTTGAGTCACTTTGCATCTTCATTGCATTTACTTGGTTAGTGGAACACTGCGACTGCCTTCACAATTAGCTGTACATTAAAGCTGCACTTAATACATAGAAAGCTTCCTCTTTAGAATTCCATTGTAAACAAGGGTCCCAGCTCCTTCTAATTTATTTTACACTGTTCTGAGAACTAGAAAATATGTTTCTGAAACTGAGAAATACTTGGTGCATGTCAGACTGGCAGCTCCTCACCCAATTTAATGATAGTAAATCTGACATGAGAGCGATAAAATCAGCTGGAGAGCAAGAGTTTGGAAAGTAAGCCCTGAGGTTGATTCCCTGCTCTGATTCATCTGATCCATCACACCCTGCTGACATCAATGAGTGTTTATCACACACATGCTACTAGGATATATATCTTTATTCCAGAGGAAATAATAACATCCTGACCTGAAACATGAAGAGTGGGTAGCTAAAACCTGCTGTTCATGTCATTGGACCACTTGATTTTGCTTTTAGCAAAAGAATTATCTTTTTTTTTCTTTTTCTTTTTTTTTCTTTTTTTTGGAGGGAGGGGGAGAGGGGCGTTCCTCTCCTCTCCTCTCCTCTCCTCTCCTCTCCTCTCCTCTCCTCTCCTCCTTTTTCTCTCCTTAGATGGCTAAAATTATTTGACATTAATCCCTTTATATTGTAATTGCAGTGCATGGCATTTGGCAACTGAATTGCTGAACTAGACTATACATTATACAGATACCAGGACTGAAAAAGATATACTATTCTGCAAGAATCTGAAATTACTATGTACATATACATACATTCAACTGAATTTAGTCACGTCACAACTAGGACTACTTCATCCACTTTTCTGAAATTTGTTGTGACCTGACATTGCAACTTCTATTCAATGTCTGTCTTTTTTTTCCTGTTTGCACAGAGAGTATGGAAAGTTCATCAAGATCAAATGCTGAGCTGAGTTTTAGGCAGCACAGAAAGCCCCAAAGCCAAAGACACCCCGGTGAATTAGAGAAGGATTGCACCACTGCAAAAAGATTCTGTCAAGAGGATCTGTACTGCTCTTCAGTGTATAGGAGCTTCCAGAGAGCGTGCCGGGCAGAGGCAGCAAAATGTAGGATGGGCAGCCAGGAATGTTTGTCAGCATGGAAAGAACTGAGGAAAACAGTGCTGGGAGAGTGCAAGTGCTCGGAGCCACTACAAAGGAGATGCCTTAGAATATGGAAGGGAATATTTAGCAACCCTTGTGTGCAATACTCTCAAGGGAACCAAGATTCAGTAGCTGGCGAAAATGGTGATGAAGATGATGATGATGGTGATGATCATGATAAAAATCAGGATGCTGACACAGGTCGGTGCTATTCCAGAAGTCAGAACCCTGTCATACATGCATGTGTCTGTGGAAAAAACAAATTCTTAAACCACTGCAGTTTACCATTGGAAACAGGATAGTTTTGAGAGGCTTATTTAGATGCAAATGAATAATCTGAAAGCAAAACACAAAACCCTGAGTGAAAATACTATTTTCCTTCAATTGGTTAATTTGGTAACTCCTGACCCTAATCAGTCTCTTTTAGCACTACACTATAGCTAAAAAAAGAAAAAAGTTTCATTTTGCATTTTTCAAAAGCAAAAATAAGAATTCTCTGCCTGCATTGACTTCATATTACAACAAGTCTTAAAGTTTTAAGAGTTTTAAAAACTGTGTATACAGATGAATACATTAAGGCCACTGGCCTTATTTATTCACAATAACCCTGATTTTATTCTAAGCCGAGCATCTCTACAAACTCTCCTTCATTTCACAGGAGGTATAATTATGTATCAACAGCCATTGTGAAAGTGTGCTTTCACCCCAAAGTCTATAAATACATGTAACAGTGCTGCTAGAGTTTGTTAAAAGTTGACAATTCCTGACTGATCACTGAGCTGATCTATTTTATTCTTGCTTATTTTTACCAGCACTATTTCAGCAAAACAGACAATGCTTTACTGCTGAAAACTAACCTACGGCATGATTTATCATCACTGCTCATAACTATATCCATATCTTTCTGTTTTAGACAAGATTAGTATGGAAACAAAGCTACAATGGAGTTTATCATCTCTCTCCAAGCAAGGTATGAATTTATTTCTGGATCCTAGTAACCCATTTTACCTCTGTTCTCATATACTGTGCATTGTATCTCCAGATTAAAATGAATAGTTTTCATTCAGATTACTGAAGAGCAAGGAGTCAGTAGAACCCTGAATATTTTAGTTAAATGCCTAGATAGATGAGAATCCAAAAATGATAGGTAACAGTCCTGTTTCTGTTACATTTATCAAGGCAAAACTTATCCCGTAACCCTTTTGGAGTTAGAAATAGCTATACAGTTTTGGAAGGCTTATAGCACAGCCTACAATTACCTGAACTAGATTTAAAAATGTCATACTGGACATGTCTGCATTTTTAAGCATCCATTAGTCAGTAGCTCCTGGAAGCTATCGAATACTCTGAAGAAATTTCCATCTTGCCATTTCTCACTTTCTTCTTCCTCGCTTATCTGGTAGGACAAGAAGTTACAAGGGGGTTGCATGTGAGAGACAAGCAGTGCAAGGGTAGAATATGAGGACAACAAAATGAGCTTAGAAGAGGCAATGTTGGAAGAGATGGCTTGGAGCTTTGGGAAGACTAACTTGTTTTTAATGGGAATAATGCAGGCAGGTTGACTACCAACCATCACTTGAGTAAGATTTTCTTCTGGTTTCATTTTAAAAATCATTATTCTTTTTAGCATACACAGCAAACAGATCCTGTTTGGATGTGAACATGGACTGTGTTGAAGATGAAGTATGTAACAAACAGTTGTCCCTGTACCTTAAGGTCTGTTCAGTAAATAAGAAGTGCAACATGGAAGAATGCCAAGCAGCAATGAGGTTCTTCTATCACAACATGCCTTTTGAAGTTGCCCAAATGATGACATTTTGTGATTGCGTCCAGCCTGACGAATCCTGCCACAGTGCCAAGGAACTTCTTCATGGCAAGCCCTGTGCAATTACTTCAGCTCCAGTCCCATCATGTCTAAGTGTAATTCACATGTGTGAGGAAAATGAATTGTGCAGGTAAGTAGAAGAATGATTACTTTTCCTAATCTCGCCTAGAGTTGTGTGCCTGTGAATAATGATTTGATCAAATAATTTTTGTACTTCTCATATATAGCAAAATGATTTTCAGCACTCTATCTGTTCTGTATCATCTCTTGTGTTTGACACTACAAAAAGTCACACTTTATGGATACAAACAGCAGAGAATTACCGCCTTTAATCTTTGATCTTTACATCTTAGTTATCAGTTTTAGAACACAGTTTTCACACTCCACCTTCCCACCAGGTGCTTTTCACCCCTTTGACTTACTCTTGCATGATAACTATAGGCATCTAGAGACCCTCTTCACACAAACTCAAATAGAAGGGATCTTTAAATCATCTTGTGTAAGAACTGCACTGAATATTTAAAATATTTAGAGGAGTCAGATGTGGGCAGAGAACATTTTACTAGGTTATATATAGCACATTATTAGGTTTGATTAGGATAATTTACCCAATTACCCAGTCAAAAAAGTTAGGTTATCTATCCCTTGGCACAGACAGCAATTCTTTGAAGTCTAGTCTGAAAAGAATCTACAAAGCAGCAGGTTCCATTTGGACATCTATCATAGATGTCTGCATTGAAACTGGTAATTCAATAAGTAATCCCACAAGCAAACCACAAACATTCATTTTCAGACAGGTCTTGGATCATCAGTGGCCTTTTCTTCTGTCTGTTTCGTGACTCTTAACACCATTTTGGCTGGACAAACTATTCTGTGAGGTATTTTCATTACCACTTTCTTCAGATAACACCTGCCAGTCTGCTCCTTTGCCCCCTAGCAGTTTACACAAATTATGCAGCAGACTGGGAGAAGTTTGTTTGGTTAAAGTAATTACCTCTTTCACCTTAGCATCTCGCCCTTCAGATCGAACTGCTGTGTGACCAACTTGGCCCTTTGTAAAACTTTTATATTATTATTTATTCTCAGATAAACATGAAAAAAAGCTCTCCTGAAATATGCAAAGACCACCAATGTCATGAGGAGGAACACAGTTTTCAGATTTTATTTTATTTTAGAAAATATGTAGCAGGGTTAGCTCATACTCTCCCTTCTATTTAATTGACACCATTTGGGGATGGCCAATTGGCTCACATTGGTTTTCAGTGTAGTCACAGGTTCTCTTATGGATTACACCTCAATTTCACTTCAAAGCTGTGCTTCATTTTACTCTCAGTAAACAAAGCAGGAGACCAAGAGACACTTTCAGTTCAGTGCAGGCTACTCAGATTGACGTCAGGGGGAACTGCCCTTTTTTATGTCAGGAAGAATTGGACTACGAATGTAAGTCTGTGCATGTGCATGTGTACACATGCAATACCATAATGGAGACTTGCTGAATTACCCATTATTTTGGGAGCATTAATGTTTCCTGGCACTGACAATAAGTGGACATAATTAGCAAAATTATTCTGTGAATTATGGCTAGCTGTATCTGTAAATCTGAAGGTGAACAAAAATAATTCCATTAGCACAGAGGTGGCATCTGCTTTGAAACCTTTGCTGGTGTAATGAAAATATTTACAATAAGGTCCAAGCTGGATTTATAAGCTATAAGTCCACATTTTTCTATGTGACTCACTTGTAACAGTTAGGCAATAGCAATAGTAAATTAACAGCCTAATGTTATGATCAATGAAAGAATATTTTAAGATACTACAGTACACTACGTAACAACATTTTACCTTTCTTGTGTGCTAAGATTTAATATAAGTGATAAACTGGTTTCCAGCCAATATCTACAGATTACTTAAATAATCTTTAATAAGTCTTCTCTTTGGTCATACCAAAAGCACTAAATAATAATTTTATTCTACTCTAAGAGCAAATAAACTAAAATAATTTAAGTCCATAGAGTTGGGAAACAATTCCTCACATAACCTCTCTTCACTGTCAATTAATTTTTAAAGGCAAATATTTGCAATGAAATTCCTTCTCCAGATCCTTGGTCATTTTGTATTTTGTTAGCATTCTATCTGGAATTTTTGGTTAGTTGGTTGGCTTTCAGCACAGTATGCAGATTATTTTATTTCAATAAAATTCAATATTCATTTTTCTTATCATGCTGCCCAACAAGCTCATCCCCTAGAAAGTTGCCTCTTCTGTTTTCATGGTGGTGACTGGTCTTATTCCTCCACCTACTGTCCCTGAAGATCTGGGACTGCTGGAATTCACTATGATTTCTGCTGGACCCTTGGAAAGACTACACAGATGCTGATTTGGGGGTACAGCTTATTGTTTCAAAAAACTTTTTGAGTAATGGTGTTATTTCAAGTTACAATTTTGCAGTTTCACTGAAACGAACAAGGTGCAAAGCAGAGCAGAATTTATGCCAGCTATCACTGAATATTTTGATTTTTAAAGCTTACAGGGCACTTCAAGAATACACTCTCTTTTTATGATCATCCTTAACTATCCTTTTGTGAAATCACAGTTTCAAAACCATCATTGTACACTTCTTTTTTTCTGCCAGGAAAAAATACAAAGCTTTTTGGGACAAATGTTGGAGACACGTGACCAAAGAATGCTATGAAGATGAAGGCTGTCTTGAAACTTTAATTAAAGACGACATGCCCTGTTCTGCAAACGCTGATTGCAAAGCAGCCTACATCAGCAACTGGGGCACAATGCTACGTGTGGAGTGCACCTGTCAGAATTCACCACCGGCAGAACAGTCGCTGTGCAAGCTCTTCCATCACATGCTGCACAGCACGTCCTGCTTCAGTCAGCTACGTGAGTAACAGATGATACTTCAAAGAATATTTAATTTAAAATCTTAAATTAAAATGCTAACTTGCAGCAAATCTTAACCATATCACTGCTATACTACATGGATTTCACCAAAGTTTATACCTGTAGGTTTTTAATCCAAATTGAAACACAGATTGCATGTGCAAGTTGTTTTCTCTGGTTGTGGGCAATATTTTATGCTAGCAATACATTGGCTACAAGTCTCACTACATTAATTTTCTGGCTGGAATAACAATAAAAGAACAATTTTGGGGGTGAGAAATACTATGCAGATTAGAAAAGCTTCAGAGTCCTTCTGTCATTGACTTAATGTTGTACTTTGGCACAGCATTAGAACAATCAATATGGTACATATTGGTACATAGAACACAATATACATTATGTTTTTATGTGTTTCTTTCTTTCCGTTTCTTCTTGTAGTCTAAATATTAGCCTAGCTAAAACTTTAAGTTGGCTAACACACATTTAGCAAATGATTTAGTAAATGTTAACCTTACAAATGATTGGTATCTTAGACACAGTTTAACTGTGTTGCGAAGCTTCATAAAAAGAATAAATGATCTGCTACCTTCACGTGGTTACTTAACAGTAATGAGAAAGAATACAGAACTGAATTGACAGTTTTCTAGCTTTAACTTCTGAGCACAGATCTTGTTTGTGTTAGAAACTGGGACACAGAAGTCAATGTAATAAATTCTGCCTTTTTCAGGACAGGACTTCATTTGTTTTTCTTTCTATGCAGTGGCACAGAATGATGCAAGCCAGTATGTGCTAAATATAAAACTCCTTGCTAAGACCTTCTTTAGGACTCAGTTGTTAGTGCAACGAATGGCAACATGAAAGAGAATATCAGTGTTTTCATATGGGTCAGGAGAGTGCTTTTGAAGCAAATCCTGTTTGTTTGTCCTCACTTACTGTGCTGTGGGGTCCCAGAGTGGTTCAGGAGAAGATGAACTGGACTCCCACAGCCTAAAACTGACACTGAATGTTCACCTATTACATCAGCTCCTGGCCATGCCATCTGTGGACCAGACCTACGACCTGACTACCCTCTCCACAAATACACATAATGTGGCACTTATATCTATTACACGAACTTGCTAATGCATCTATATGTAATTATATATTCACATGGTAGCCTGGGAGAAGGAATTACTTCCAAAGATTTCAGAGAAAAGGAATGATTATGTCATAGTTCCATCCAAGTGACTTTTAAAAACAAATTAGCTGCATACATGCATTTCATTTAATGATTTAGCTAATTTTTGAGTTTTAGCCATCCCCCAAAATTGCTACTGATAATAGTATAATTTTTTCCTGTCTTTCAAAATACACCTGAAAACTAAAGTAACTGCTGAAACACGGTGCTTAGGCTTAGACAATCAGGACAATCAGACAATTCAGCCTAGAAAAGTTTAAAATTGCAGCACCAGCTCCTCTGACAAAGTAATACTGTAACACTGTTAAATTTGAGACTGTGCTGGCAGTGAGTTTGTGATGAACATTATTTATTTGTTTGTTTGCTCCATGACTGCATCTAATGATCCAAACTAACTCTGTTAGTTGCTCTTTACATAGCAAGAAAAAAGATAATTATCATATTAGAATAATCAAATAATTGCTCATCAGGTTTTGCCATTCACTGAAGCAGTCTCAGGATAAAAGTGTTTTTGTGATGGGAACTTCCCTAACCTAATTGGGATTAAAGAACAGAAACTTGCTTGTTCCTGTGGTGCAATGAAGTTCCTGCTTGTCAGTTGAAAACTGGGGATCCAGAGCCCTTGGCTAAGTAAAGGATTGGTACTATTGCTGCCTTTCTAAGTTCTGAGGCTCTTATCAAAACACCAAATAATAATATTTTTTTACATTATTATTAAAAAATAATAATTCAAGTTGATACATGTTTCCAATCTTCAGGTCAAATTTCAGTTAGCAAAGGTTTTCATTGGCTGAATACAGAAATACCAGGAGAAAAGCTTTCCAGAACACAACTGCATTCATCTTCAATTAATGGTAAGTTTGAGCCAATCACTTCATGATTTTAATAGAAGCATTACTGAAATTTCCCTTGTGTTACAGAGAAGACTAAAGATTAACTCCCCTGGGTGGTTTCAGGAAGGCGAGCTTTACCTGTTCCACTCTCATTCAACATTATGTGGAAAAATCTTTCTACTTGATTTCCTTATCTTATACAACCACAAAGTAAAGATAATTAGGCTGCACCAATTACTCTGATAAGTGGTTTTGAAATAGATAGCTCACAATCACTATATTATAACTGGGCACAATTAAGCTATTAAGCCCACCATAGCCTGATTCTCCATACAGTCAGGAGAATCACAGAATCTCAGAATATCCTAAGTTGGAAAGGACTCATAAGGATCATCAAGTCCAACTCATATAGAATCAATAGTAGTCATAATATGTAAAATAAATGATTAGCTTTGATGCCACACCTGCTTCTCTCCTAACTTTCTTGACTTTTTGTGCCATACTAGTTACAGTGAAATTAGGAAGATGCAGTAGTTGATCTGAGAAGGGTGCTGTGTTATACTCCATCAGCTATGCAGGGCCTGCAATTGTGGATCGTGATATCTCATGGGTTGAAAAGCAGCATCTGCTTTTCTTTCTATGCATTTACAGTAAGCAATTAAGTGACATAAAAGATACTGATTTAATACATTTTCTCATAGCTGAAATAATATTAATTTTATATTTCCTTTTGAAGGATCTCATTACAGAGTAAGAATACTAAAAAGCTCAGTGCACAAATACTGTCTCTAATGAGAAACATTTGCTCTACCTTGCATAGGGCAGATTGCAGTACTCTACATATTACTACAAATTAGTTCCTTTTTTACAAGAAATGTTCACACTGAACACCTTTAACAGTGAAAAAATAATTCATGCTCCACATACAGTACAAAATAAAGGATATTCCATCAGGTCCACCCTTCAGCTTTTGCTGAAGTGTCCAACCTGGGAATTATAAATATAGACTGTTAGTAATAATATTCCTGAGACCAATGTCATGAATAATTGAGCATTCCACTGTAATTTTAGCATAAAAACTCTTTGCTGTATCCTGGAAGTGTTGGCTTCTTTTTGCCAACTATAGGGGGAGCCTGAATCTCTGGCTGGCTGGAACTAGACTTTAGTGGTTAAATAATGAATGTTGTAATGGAAGAAATCCTGCTGTAAGTGAGAAAAAGTAAAATGTGAGCTATTTCACCCCAGTGACCAGTTCTAACTGCAGACCCCTTTACTGGGTAGAATGCAATATGTATTTCCCTCAAAGAATTAGATAAATGTTTGCAAAAAGTAGGCTGCGCCCAGTTAATTCTACTCCCACTGAAATCTGAACACTTTCCAAAAACCCATCCTTGAACTCTAACAGAATTTTGGATGGCCTTAGAAAAATAAAAAGAATGCTGACCAGCCTGAAAGATAAAATAAAATATTCCTCCTATTGGAGCTGTCATGTGTACTAGCTGGGAAGTCTCTAAGCTGTATATTTCTCATTGGAAGCCAGGTCAAGGAGAAGAATCTGATTTCAGGATATCTACCTGATGATAAAAACCATATTGCAAATTATTCTATAAATCCCACTGCCAAAAATCTATCCCTGTGCCCTGGATGTATATGCTAGTAAATGCATATTACTTTGGCTGCAAAGGGAGTTATCATCTTTACAAAGTATTTATCTTTATTGAAATCAAATCCCAAGAAGAATCCCATGATGTAGATGCAAAACGGTTAAGTTGTCAAATATGTTCTTTTGAGTGTCTGAAGATATTTAAGAATATTTGCTGAACTCGAAATGCTGGAGATAACACTTGCCTATGTGTTGTCCATACCTCAAAATCTCAGAAGAGTTCTTTACTTAACTTGCATAAAATACAAAGATCTTTCACAAATTCAAATTAATGTCTGCAGATGAGTAAGCCAAAAAAGACACTCAGTCTTTCTTTAACTGTCCCTTAATTCTTTATCTCAAAAAAGTTACTGCTCAAAGAACAGTTCAAAAAAACTTTCCTGTTTTACACAGTAGTACTGTCCATCCTTAGATAATTGGATAATTTTTAATAAAAGCGCTTCTTAATAAATAATAAATATAGGCATATATACCAACATATGTATGAATGAATATGACCCTCTTCGTTGGGAATTATGCCAGATTTGGGTGTAAGCAAAGATGCTTTGCTGTGAATGCAGTAGCCAGATATCTTGGGTCCGAAGTAGTTCAACTGCACAACTCCATGATCAAGAGCTAACCACTTGCTGTGGACAAACTGACCCTTGGTGACTGTACAAATGCACATTCCTAGCCTGCAATAAAATTCAACTTATTCCATCTCTTACTGAGAAAAGGAGAATAGTATGTATAAAATGCTGCTGCAGAGAAGCTGCTACATAATGTAGAGGTAATGGTAACATTTTACAGCCTGGCATGGCGTATATCAATGACCTTAGCCTCCTAAATCAGGTTGTGATGTTTGAAAACAGGATTAGATATCCAACGTACTTTGGCAACCATTGGCCCAAGTGGCATAAGAGTGATGATAGAGGTCACCCTCGCTACTGTGAAAGGGCTCTGTTTAGCTCAGTGAGATCTGCCACATAAGAAATTGGCTTGTGTCAGGAATATTGAACCACAAGATATCTTGAAAAGAAAGTGTAAAAGATGAAGTCCTCTGCCTTTTGCCCTTTGGTTTGCTGTGAAAAACAGGACTGTTTAAAATTCTTAACAGGATTTTCACTCAGTCACATACCCAGGAGGATACATGACAACCTGTGGGTTGATTCGCCCCAGTTAAAACAGTGTGAGGTAGGCAGAGGCCTGATCATTTTCAAAGTTGATGAGACTTCTCCTGCAAGCTTAAACAGGACCAGAATCTTATGTCATAGTACAAAAAGCAAGCGACAAACTAAACAAAAGCTCTCCAAACTTCAAAAACGCTGTTATTGCCCGTGGAGTTACCCACTTTCA